AAGAACTAAGACGACGGTAAAATATTGAAGTTTAATCTTTTATCTGTAGATTATTTGATCATCTAAATTATATTATTAATTGGTGTAACTTGGCGTAACTATATGCAAATCTTATGATCAACTATGCCGAAACTACGGAGAAACCTATTATAGAGGTTTCGGCATGTTTCGGCAGTTTCGCAATTTTGACAGGTTTCGCAGTTTCGGCGTTTCGGCGTTTCGGCACTATATAAGAGGTTTCACCTTTCAGCATTAGGCCAAACAGGTTTCGGCAAGCAACCTTAAATACTACACATATCAGGTATATATCTGATATATATCTGCTATCCGATATATTAGTTTTTGACCAGTGATAGTAGGATCTTTAAAGAGTTTTATATGTAAACTTTACCTTAGGCCATAGGATAACCTATCTTAATAGTACTGTGTAAATATATATATTATATATATATTGGGTACTGATATGTATATGATATGTAAATGATATGTAGACAATATATATTTACACATATCTTACATATATTAGGTATCCAATTTTCATGTCTGCTAGACTGTTACCTAATATATTAGTTTTTGACCAATGCATATTCTAGCTAAAGTTGCTAAAGAAACTGAAGGATTTTGGCAAGTTGGTAAAATACTAAAATGGTGAACTTTACCAAAACTATAATATAAAAGTCTTATTAAAAAATTAGTAAAATTCTGAAAAAAAACAAAATTTAACAAAACTTATTATAAATGCCAAAACTACTAAAATCTTGCCAAAACTATAATAAATTATAGTAAAATTTTGGAAAAACTAATCATAAGATTTTGAAGAAATTTAAATAAACAATTTTAATCCTAATATTCACAAATATGATTTTTTAAATATTGAAAAAAATCATCAATATTAATATATTTATTAAATAATTTTATTATTTTAAATTTAAATAACCTACTGTATTATTAATAGATTGAAAAATTCCATCAATTTTAAAATCTAGTAAATTGCCATTTTTCAGTTTAAAGTTATACATTAATTTGTACTTACTTTAAATTGCTAAAAAGTTTCTCTATATCAGAGTTTAGAGTATTATTGGAATATTTGATACTTTCTTGTAAATACTTTCAATTTTCTTATCAATTCACTTAAGTCATTAGCATTTTATTCTAAAATGTATAATTCTTATATTAGTTAGATGGATTATAATGTAAGTTAAATTGTAAAGTAATGAAAAGAAAATAAAGATATAGAACTTATTGAAATTTATGAAAAGTAGAGGAACTATATATTATATCAACCATAAACTTTTTAGAGAATAATATTCAAGTATTTATTAAACTATTTTTAGTAAAATATACTAATAATTATAGTTTTTTTCTTTGATTTTAGTTTGATGGATATAATATCTGAATTGATTTCAATTTCAACTTTTAGATTATCCTTATTCTTATTTTTATTATCATTAAAGTTAGAATATATATCCAAATTATCACAAGAATTTTTATCATTACTTATTAAAAATTATAATAATTTCAATGAGTAGTAAAGTTTAATAAAATTTTATATTCTAATTATTATGATTTTTTTTCTTTTTAATTAATTAATTAATAAAATTTAGGAAAAAAATAAGATAAAAATCATTAGCAAAAGACCAATTTTTTACAATAACCTTTATTATAAATAAATGAGATCTTGTTATAATTAAAGGAAAAATAATTGTTTGCAGTTTCTTTGATGAATAAATAGTAAATATTACAAATTAGATAGAGAGAATTTTCTTATAATATAAATGAAAAGGCTTACTGTATTTTGCGGTATATAAGCACCCCTTTTTTGCACTTGATGCCGGCCAAGATCCTCATAATTTTGGCCAAAATCGCCATAATTCTGGCCAGGGGTGCTTACTTTCGGGGATGCTTACTTACCGCAAAATACGGTATTTATATCTTTAATAACATTATTTTAAACTACATTTTTAAACTTATTTTCAGATTCCTTTTCTAAAGTAGAATTCTATATAGCAGGATTTCTATCATGTACAAAAAACAATTTTTTTGTAAGTTTTTTGCCAATTTCTGCTTTTAATTCTTTAGTTGTTAATGCAAATGCATATATAACAAAATGGTTTTGAATGTAATTATTACATAGCAAACTAAAATACTATTAGAATAAGGGAGCTTACAGATATTATGTAATTATCAAAGGGGGAAGGAGGGTAACCAAAATCTTACATTACACTTAATAAAATATATAATTTATAAATATTATAATTTAATTGGTTATTAAATCTGACAAGAGGGGGGAAGTAAGTTTATATTAAACTGAATATTATGTAATATATGTAACTCCCCTAATCTTTATTTGTTAGTAACATAATGAGCAAAATTTTACTGCTAAAGTTTTTTTTTTTCTATTGGCTGTTTGTTATGTGTATTTAATAAATATACTAATTTTTGATAAGTTTGTGATAAAGTTTTAGCTTTTAGATGGTAAAGTATCTAAAAAGTCTGAAGGTTATAAAGTATTTAAAAGTAAAAAGATTGATAGTAATAATTTTATTTTTAACAGAAAAATTAATAGGGATAATTCTGCTTCTAATGGAAAAACTGATGTGATAATTCCACTTTTGATAAAAAAACTGATGGTAATAATTTGCAAAAATCTTAAAACCTCTTATTTGAATAATGATATTAACCAATTTTTGCAAAAATATATAAGCATATTAGCATTTTATAATCTCATTAATTATTAATATATCTTAAATATAATTTAATTAAAATTTTTTCTTAAAATTTATTTTAACATCAAAAATAAACTTCTCTGCATGTATTTACAAGAATTTTACCTATTAATAATTGTGATAATAGAACCCTGCTTACTTATAATAAAGGTTACCATAACTTTAAGGTAAAGTCACTAAAAAAAAATTTTGATGATCCTACTATAAATAGATAAATTATATCTAAAAAAGGAAATATTACACTATATTATTATGATTTTTTTCCTTTTAAATCAATTAACCAATAATATTAAGAATTGGAATAAGGTAAAATTACTAGTAAATTTGAAATTTTTTCCAGAAACCTTTATTAGAAATAAGTGGGATCCTGTGATAATAGATATTATAAAGTAATTTTAAAGTTCAATTTAGTATTATTAATAAGGAAAAAAAAAAGTGACAGATATCTCAAACCATTTAAGGTAGTTGGTATAATTTGCCTGTATAATTAAAAAAATAATGTATAACTAATAGTTTATTTATTTTAAATTATTCATAAAGATTCTTAGCAATTGGTTAAAAATAATGTTAAAATTGGAATTCACAAAAAAATTATTAATATAAAATCTAAAAGACCATTTCAAAATCAACCTGACTCTTAAAGAAGTCATTAACACTGGTCAAAAACCAATATATCAGGTAGCAGATATGTATCAGATATGTACCCAATATGTGTAGTATTAATGCAGAAAAATCGGGTATCCGATATGTATATAATATGTAAATGATATATAGACGATATATATATTTACACATATCTTACACATATCAGGTACCCAATTTTCTGCATTAATACTACACATATCGGGTACATATCTGATACATATCTGCTACCCGATATATTAGTTTTTGACTAGTTTTCTTGGAAGGAGCTCCTGACCAACGTATTTCTTGCTAGTTGATGTTGTTAACTGGGGAGTTAGTTTTCTAAAATAAGGAGACGGAGTTGAGGTGTATGTTTGATGAATTTTACTCGGGTTTTTCTCATTGCACTTCGAGTTTTCCTGAGGTTTATGTCTTTATTTTTTGCTTTTTGTTTTTCTTGGTCGCTTTTTTCGGTGTAACCTTATTTTCTTTGGGGGTGGGGGGATACTGGAAAATTTGATCATCATGGTGGCTTGGTGTTACAATTTTTAAAATCGATCATCATTCGGGTGATAAGGGGGGTGACAGGTTGGGTACTGCAGTTTTTGTAGTATGCTGATCATGGTGGTCACATGTTGGACTATCATTGGATTGACTTATCTAGGTAGATCTTAGGTCGAAGGATCGTTCACAATGAGGTGGGTGTCCTCCGTTTGGGATTGTTCGCAATGAGGTGGGTGTCCCTTCGGGGATTGCACAACACTAAAAAGTTCCCCATCGGCTGGACTGCACGACACTAAAAAGTTCCTGGAGGTCTTTGTGAAATAGGTTTGTTATCCATAGTATGTAGTCAAATAGGGGAAGTTGAATTTTATGCGTTTCTGATAGTGCTAATGGTAGCTCAGAGGTTTTTTACCGATTCTAGGAGTGGGTACGGCGCTGGATGGGTTACGTATAGCATAGTTGACTTTACCCATTTTGAGATATATTTGGGGGGAGTAGCCGTAGTTATTTATATAGAGAGGGTGGGGTTTATAATCTTAGCTTTTCTTATATGTAATTTTGGAAGATTATTTGTTCTTTGTTTTTCTATTAGTTCTGCACTTGTTGCGATGCTTTTTAGATCACTCTGTGTTTCTCTAAAGTCACTTCGGCATTAATTAATAAAATTCAAGCTCAAGCTATGTTTACCTAGTTTTTGACTAGTGTAATATTACATACTTTCAATTCATACTTAAATTTTTATAAATAAATAAAAAATTTAAACTGTAAAATATTGTTTAAAGTATTTTATACATATATTTTATTATTATATTATTTATATATACTTATTTAGACTTATTGGTTCTGTAGATTACTTATTACTTACTATAATAAACTAATAATCAATTGAAATATTAGTTTTAATATAATGAAAATAAGACTATTAATAAAATTGGTATTGTCATCAATTATTGGATAAATGAGTTAGATATAATTTTTCTAGAATTCTATTACTCATTATTTAGATATAATTAAAAAGGTTGAAAGTATTTTCCAAAAAACAGTTATTTAAAAATCAATTATTATTACATTAGTAAAATATTATCTATTTATTACATTATATATAAGTTATACAAACCTTATATTAATTTGCAGTTTGCAATCTATATACATATAAATCCAATCAAATTGCTAGAATTTTGTTAAGTTTTATGCTTCCAAATCTTTCATCTTAGCCTATACATTATATAGATAATGACCTCTTTATTGCAATAACTTGCTGGCTAATTTAACATATAGTTGATTAGTTAATAGAAGTGCACATTAGAATGATTTTTTTTACCTGTTATATAGATAAGAAACATTCTGTATATTAAAGTAAAAAAAAAGTTTTAATGAAAAAATTATTGAAGTATAGATGAAACATTTTGCAACTAAGGTATATTAAAATGAAATATATTGTTTTGTATTTACGAAAAAGTGACCTAAAGCTTGTAGAGTTTGCAGAGCTAATATCTATTTTTTATTTAAAACCTTATTAGAGAAAACATAAACTTACAGTAAATTTTACTAAGGTAAATACTGTTTATTTATTTCTGATCTATACAATATACATAACTGACGATTATTTTATTTTATTCAGAATACTGATATTGAAATCAGATTAAAGTTGGAAATAAATCAGATAGTAAAACTGATAATAATGATGAAATTATTTCATTAAATGAAGAAAAAAAGTCTAAAAATAACTATATTTCTTTTTCAGAAGCTGAAGCAATAGTAAAATCTGTAGTAGGTATTAATAATAGAAATAAATTTCTTAAAAATGCAGTATCTGATTCAGATGAATCTGACTTAGATAAGAAAAGGGAAATTAAATCTGCTAAAGATAAAATTAGATGCTCTTGAATCATCTGTTAAAACTTTTGAAAATGCTAAAAAAAATTAATGATTGAATTACTATTCAAATAATATATGATTAATAGCTTTTTAATTTAAAGTTCAAAGAACAAATTTTAACATTTAATTTATTTATTAACATGTAAATAAATTAATAAGTTAACAAAATGTTAACTTAATTTTTTACAGCTTTTTTAAATTTTAAATTTTATTTAAGATAATTTGTTTGAAATTTATATAATCAATAATCAATAAAAATTACACTTTTCATTATTAGTTATTTATGAAAAAAAAAAGAAATAAAAATAAAAATAAAAAAAAAAATATTACTTATTTAATAATTTTCATTGTTAGAAATAGTAATTACAGTATAAACTAGTTTAAGAGTAAATCCATCTCTGATCATTCTGGGTTAGCAAACTTATTACAATGCCTAACCATTTTTTATGTAAAAATAAAATAAATTTTTTGGGTCAGTTTTTTACCTGTAAACTACCTGTAAACCATCTGTAATCTGGGAATTAATTTATTGCACTGTAATGATAGATTAAATAAATATTATAATATCTTGTATTATAAAAGAAGAAGTATTGATGGATGTTTACTAATTCTATAATTACTATCAATATTGTAAATTGAAATCTTTTCTTTGGTTTTAATACAACTTATATCTGAAATAATTTTTTGTGAACATCTTATATCAAAATTAATTATATTTTGTTGAATAATAAAATATGTTAATCTAACTAATATCTTCCATTTTTATGTCACTTTCGAAAATACTAGATAAATTTTTATTTGAACCACCATTTGGTTGACTTCCGCCCAAAACACTTTCCATTTCCCAAATAGCTTCACTAATAACATCATTTAATTGTAAAATTTTTGATTTTATTTTTTGCGTTCTAGCATTTAATGCTTTTCGGCGATTTTCATGTAACTGCATTAAAGTTTGCGTGTCATTCAGCAAGAGGGTTGCTTTTAAATCATGTGTCATTGTCAAAAGTGTTTCGCAAGCTCGCACCTTATTTAAAGTATAATCTCTTTAGATTAATGAAAAATAAATTTTTTAAATTAAAAACGTAAAGTGAACAAATACCAAATTAGCGGCTCTTAATTCAACTACAAAACCATCTAAAGAATTTCTATATTTGTCTTTATCAACTTGCTTTAATTTCAAATTAGAGAAAAAAAAACTTATTTAACTTTATAATAATTTTTGTGAAAAAAAAGAGCATTGTACCTTATCTTCATTTCTACCAGGCATTCTAACCATTTCATGAAATCCTGAACTTTTAACGATATCACGAAAACTTGATATAATTTGTTCAATTTCATTATCTAATTTTTTGTTGTGTTCTTCTTCTACATTGGATAAAAAAGCATTTTGAGAAGCTAATGTTGTTGTTTTTGTACCTCCTACTGTTAATTGATTCGTATTTAATGATAAAGCTGACGTTATTGGTGCATCTGTTATAAATCTTGAAGGTCCTTGTCTCTGCATTTTTATAAATTACAGAATTTTATAAGTAAAAAATTTGTAAGTCGCGTTTTCATGCAAATTATCTGAAAAACGTTAGCAGAGGAAATTTAAATTACTGCGCCACCAAACTTGCCGGTAAAAAAAAAAATATTTTATTCGTCCATAACAGATAAGATGATCACAGAAAAATTTTAATCACATGATATAACAAATTTTTTAAGCCGGGAATTTTGAAATCACAACCATATTGCTTTGTCAATTGAAAGAATACCTTTATATTTCTAGGTAAGTCTTTATATATATTTATATATATTTTTTAATTTACGTTATAAAATGTTTGATCCGATTTGGAATGGGGGTAAAAAAAGGTGTATTTGTGAAATAAAAGTTTTTTTAAAGTTGTTTCGTTAGGATAGTTTAAACCTTATTATCATAGAAATCTAAGAGAACTAATTATAATTAATTTATTTTAACTAATTTGATATTTAAGGTTATTAAAAAATGTCAAGATTTTTCCGAGGTGGATCAGATAGTGAAACTGATGATGATGATGAAATTATTTCATCAAATGAAGAAGAAGAGTCTGAGGATGACCATATTTCTTCTTCAGAAGATGAAGCAACGTCAAAACCCGCAGCAGGTGCTGGTGGTAGAAGTAAATTTCTTAAAGATGCGGTATCCGATTCAGATGAATCTGATTTAGATGAGAAAAGGGAGGTTAAATCTGCTAAAGATAAAAAATTAGATGCTCTTGAATCATCTGTTAAAACTATTGAAAATGCTAAAAAAATTAATGATTGGGTTGCTATTCAAAATGGTATGTAATTGATAGCTTTTAATTTAAAGTTCAAAGAACAAATTTTAACATTTAATTTATTTATTAGAATTCGAAAAATTAAATAAAATCGTTAGTAAATCTTTTGGGTCAATTGGAATGCCACGTGTATACATTAAAACGATTGCTTCACTTGAAGATTTTCTTAATGAAGCTTTGCAAAAAGAAAAAGAAGCAAAGAAAAAAATTAATGCAACTCAAGCTAAAGCATTAAACTCAATGAAAAATAAAATCAAAAAGATTGTTCGTCAATTTGAAGACGAAGTTGAAAAATGGAGACAAGTAAGTGTAATTAAATTTTTTATAGAAATGTAATTTCAAATTCTAATTTACTTATATATATATATATATATATATTTTCGTTGAAATAGAATCCGGTTGAAACAGAAGAAGAGGATAATGAAGATGGTGACATTGAAAAATCATCACCTATAGAAAAGGATGATTCATTACAATCTACTGATGCTCTTGATGATGAAGGTTTCGAACAAGTTGGGAAAGGGAATAGACCCATTGAGTACACTTCTGATAATTTGTTCAAAAAATTGAGAGAAATCTTGGAAGCAAGAGGAAAAAAGAATACGGACCGTTTAGAACAAATTAAAATCCTTCAAAAACTTTTAGGTGTTGCTGCTACATCATATCAACAAGTCCGAGTCTTACTTGCATTAATACCTGCCCAATTTGACTATAATCCGAGTATGAGTAATTACATGAATGTCGATATGTGGAAAAGGTAAGAAAACGATATCTTCGTTATATGATTTTGTTAACTCTTACTAACAATTTTATTTTTTCGTTATTTAAAGCACACAAAAGGAGATAAATCAACTCTTAACAATTTTGGAATCAACCCCTAGTTTTATGATTCATGATCATGTTGAAGAAGAAGAAGAAGATAAGGAACCAGTTATAGAACCAGGTCAAACATTTGGCATACGCGGATCTATCGTTTCTTTCATTGATCGTTTAGATGATGAGTTTACGAAATCTTTACAGAATATTGATCCACATACTACCGATTATGTGGATAGATTGAAAGATGAAACTGAATTATATGCAACAATCGTGAGAGGGCAAATTTATTTCGAACAAAATGATTTAAATGAGAGTACGAGTAGAGTGGTAATGAGAAGATTGGAACATTTATATTATAAGGTAAGGAAGATCATTTAAAGTTTATACCATATTTATCTTTATTTTATATAAATATATATATTTATTTACATCCCTGTTATTGATAATACCAATATTATATAGCCCGATCAAGTTATACAGACTGTTGAAAATACGGTTTCTCAATCACTCCCTTCGAATCTTAAATCTTCAATTACTCCACCTGCGATTACACAAGATTCTTCTGATCTTATTCACGCTCTCTGTGTTTACCTTTACAAGAAAGGAGAGTCTTTACTTCGTACTCGTGCAATGCTTTGTCATATTTACCATCATGCGCTGCACAACCGATTTTATATTGCACGTGATATGCTTTTAATGTCACATTTACAAGACAATATTCAACTTAGCGATGTTGGTACCCAAATTTTACACAATCGCACTATGGTACAAGTTGGACTTTGTGCTTTCCGTGAAGGGATGATTAAAGAATCTCAGAGCTGTCTACAAGAAATTTGCGGTACTGGACGTGTGAAAGAATTATTAGCTCAAGTAAATCAAAAATTATTTATGTTGACCATCTTTTTTAAATTGAATTAATCATTAGAATTTTTATAGGGTTTACAATTACAAAAATATTCACAACTTCCACCGGAACAAGAAAAATTAGATCGTCAACGTCAATTACCATTCCATATGCATATTAATCTAGAATTACTTGAATGTGCATATTTGACTTGTTCTATGTTATTAGAAATTCCTGCTATGGCGGCTGCTGGATCAAATCCCGAGGCTCGTAAAAAAGTTATCAGTAAACCATTTAGAAGAATGTTGGATTACAACGAAAGACAAGTTTTTAGTGGTAAGTATTTTGATTTTGAAGAAGTCAAACGTAAAGTTCAAAGAATTATTGGAAGGAAATTTGTTAGTTGGATAAATTATAGTTTTTAATATCGCACAATAAATAACTTTACTATTTAATTTTAACAGGACCACCTGAAAATACAAGAGATCATATTATGGGAGCAGCTAAAGCACTCGCAGCTGGTGAATGGCAAAAATGTCAAGAACTAATTAGTGCAATAAAGATTTGGGATTTAATGCCTGAAACACAAAAAATTAAAGAAATGTTAAATAGAAAAATTCAAGAAGAAGGTCTTCGAACTTATTTATTTACATATTCTTCATATTATACGACATTAGGGCTTGAACAGTTGTCAACGATGTTTTCATTGCCAATAAATACAGTTACGTCTATTGTATCAAAAATGATTTGGAATGAGGAATTAGCAGCTTCATTAGACCAAATTAATAATGTTGTTGTATTACATCGTGTTGAACATACCAAAGTTCAACAATTAGCTTTAATGTTTGCTGAAAAAGCTACTTCATTCGTTGAAGCTAATGAAAGAACTTTGGAACAAAAACAAGCTGTTGGACAAAATCAGAGAGATCAACATAGACAAAAAGGTATGATGGTGTTTATTTAATAATAGAAAAGTTTTAATTATTCATAATTAACAATGAAACCTCTCATTCTTTAAATAGGTCAAACAAGCCAACAACAAAACACTGAAAAAAGAACTATGTATCAAAAAAGAGACGGTCAACAACAAAGAGGTCGAAATAATTTTAATAATGTTTTGGGTAATAGTGTACGTGGAAGGACACAACAAAATCGGTATCGATCTTAATTTAAAAAAGCTAATTTACATTTAAAAGTTGTAAATAAAAAATTTTTATTAACATATATATAATAGTTAAATTTGAATATATTAAATTTATTATTGCACACTGATTTTGGTAGTGGTGATCGTTAAAAATATTTAGTCAAATCCAAAAATCCGAATAGTATTTTAAATTAATTTTCAATAAAATAGCAGTTAATCTTATTTTAAAAAATATATTTTATAATTCTTTTGATAAAATTTACACTAATAATAAACCCATTAATATAATAAATCTTTTACTATAAGAACAGTTTGTTGATAGGGATTGGCTAAAATCAATTCCTGTTTTGGAGCCCGGAATTAAAAAAGGTGTTAGTTCAAATCATGTGTAACATTAATTATTAATAATCGGGAATGAGTTTGACGCATTATCATCCAATAATATATAATGATTCCCATATACAAGAAAAAATAAGATGTTGCCACGTATTTAATTATCGCGATTTACCGTTTTTGAGCTTGGAACTCGGTCGTTTGGTAGCCCACAACTCTACTGAACTTTTTGAATTTTTTCAAACATGAAATTATCATTTTTGACTATTCTCTTATTGCTTATCGTTAGTTGTTTTGCAAGTGAAAACAACGTTTTAGACTTAACGCCGACTAATTTCGATCAACTAGTTGGTAAAGATAAATTTGCACTAGTGGAATTTTTTGCTCCATGGTGTGGTCACTGTAAGAAGTTGGCACCCGTAAGTTAATGAACGTATTGAAACAGCTAATTTAGTTTTCCCGACTCTAATCCTTTGAGCCTTTAGGTTTATGAACAACTTGCCGATTCATTTTCACATGCCAAAGATCAAGTAATCATCGCAAAGGTTGACGCAGGTAATGTAATGTTGTTATGCTATTCTTCTAATTTTAAGTCTAATGCTAATATTATTTCTCTGTCTAGATAATCACAAGGATTTAGGAAATCGTTTTGGAGTTGGTGGATACCCTACTTTGAAATGGTTCAATAAAGGTGTAATAGATAATCCTGATGAATATGATAAAGGACGCGATTTAGAAAGTTTAATTTCTTTTGTTGAAGAAAAAACCGGTAATTTATTTGATATTTGTTTTGTAGTATTTACGAAAAAAAATATTTTTTTACGTAATATTTGATATAATTAGGCGTGAGATCTAGAGTTAAGAAACCCACTTCTTCGGTCACGGAACTTACTTCCAGGAATTTTGATGAAATTGCCTTGGATCCTAAGAAGAATGCATTGGTATTTTGCCGAATTGTTTAGGTTTACATTTGTTATGTTAAATTTTAAGATATTGAACGCGCATTTTTATATTATTTAAGGTCGAATTTTATGCTCCTTGGTGTGGGCATTGTAAAAATCTTGGTAAGAAATTTTGAATCCTATAATGTGATGCTATTAATATATAATAGCCTAATAAAATTTATCAACAGCTCCAACTTACGAGAAGGTCGCTCAAGATTATGCTCAAGAATCTGATGTATGTAATAGTAATACTATGATTTTTAACGTAATTACGCGTTTTTAATATATTATTGAGAAAATTCACAAGTTCCCTCCCACTTCAATAATTAATTAGTGTATCGTTGCCAATATGGATGCTACAAAAAATGAACCTGTCGCTAAAAGGTATGATGTTCGTGGATTTCCGACGATTAAATTTTTCCCAAAAGGAGAAAATAAAACAACGATTGATTATCAAGGTGGAAGAACAGAACAAGATTTTATTGATTTCTTGAACAAAAATTGTGGAACGCATCGTCTTGTTGGTGGAGGATTATCTGAAGAGGTAATAATTGTAAAAGTTTGGTTTATAAGATCTATTATGAGAGTTATTTAAGTCTGATTTGTTTTATTGTATATATAGGCTGGTAGAGTACCTGAATTAGATGCCTTGGCAGTCAAATTTACGAATGCAATCACTCAGAAAGAGATTGATCTAGTTATCACAGAAACAAAAGACGCTGCGGAAAAATCGGATTCAAAGTTCGTAAATTTTTTTTTTGTATTCAATATTATAATTATCACTAACATTTTTAAAAAATTTATTAGGTTTGCTTTATATTATGTTAAAGTTATGGAAAAAATTAAAGATAAGAATAATTATGTTGATAATGAAATTGCTAGGTTAGATAAAATCATTAAATCTGGTACAATTTCAGCCAGTAAAATCGATGATTTCACAATCAGAAAAAATATATTGACAAATTTCCATAAAAATAAAGTAATAACCCATCAGGATTTGTAATGTATATTATAGAATTTATTTAATCTAATTATTTATTTTAGATCTTTATTTATTTGGTATTATAAAATCTATGATAGTAATGTAACAAAACAGATGATGATGTGGTGTTATATATTTATATTTTTTAATTTAAAATTTTATATAATAAAAAATATATTTAATTCATTAATCTTTTGAGTAGGTTGTCAAAGAGTTTGTAATCTAATATTTTTTATATGGTTTGTTTATTTTCTAAAATTGTAGATGCTCCAGTGCAATCAAAAATTCTTATGCAGATTAGTCGAGTTGAAAGAAATGTTTTTATTAAAAAAAAAATGGAATAAAAATAAACATGAAAATATTTTTTTTTTTTTTTTTTTCTTCCTAACTAAATAACATTCTAGCTAAACTAACTCATAAATTAGTAGAATTGTTAGAATTGTTAGAATTGTTCGAATCTTTCGAATCGTTTAAAGTATTTTGAACTTGTGACGTATGCCATCCTCGTGATGCATTCCCTCCAAATACAACTCCGACATCGTCATCGTCACTATCCATAGTATCAAGAATTTCTATATTTTCTCTACTGGTTGTTTCTAAACCATTTTCGATTGATGACGATGGTACTAAAGAACTCATGGGCAAAGTTTGATTTGTTCCACTAACTACCATTAAATGTTTATTTTTCCCATTGTCCATACGTAACTTATTATTATTCGGCGAATCAGATTCAATGTTTTTATCTTGTACAACTACATTTTCAACTTCGTTAGAATCCTCATTTGGATTATAAATCCAACTTTTACTTAATGAACTATGTGAATTGTTTGAACGTCTTTTCATTGCAAGTTGTCTCGGTAAATTATGCTCAGCTTTATCCCACTGTTGTGAATTCGTTGCAATAGTTGAACGAGATGATGACGATGATAACGAAGGACTATCTTCTTCAACATAATTCTCTATATCCTTATATCTTTGACGTGAATATATTTCAGGAAAACTAGATCCATAAAGACTGTGACGTTGGTGAGCAACTTGCAATGTTTGATTTTTATCAGGTGGATAAATATTAATTGGAGAAGGTGGTGTTGTCGTTGGATAATTACGGGTCATAAGAGGTGAACTGAGAGGTGAACTGACAGGTGAACCTAATAAAAGGTGTTGATAATGTAAAGCCTAAAGAAAATCAATAAACCTATTTCCCATTACGAAATAATTACCTATAGGTGATGGTGAATCTGATATGGATTTGGAACGTTTACGGAGACTTCCTTTGGTAAGATTGCCGAGTGATAATGAAATCTTACGAATTTTCTTTTTTAATCGTTCCTAAAATAAGGAAGAATAGAATGTAAATATTTAAATATATTTTACGGAATAATTATCGTAACTTGCCTTTAAGGTGTAGGCACTTTTGACTTCTTCTTCGGTCACTGTTACAGCCTTATATTTCTTTGGATCTGTTTCTTCACGCCATTTTTCTGGATTTGTTAAATCCGCGATGACCCACGGGTGTTTCTAAAAAAAAAAATGAGCCGAATTTTTAAATGATATTTCTAACAACAAAAATTTTACCTTGACTTCTTCCAAAGTGATTCGTTTATTTGGATCCTTTTCTAATAATTTCGTAAACAAATCTCTTAAATCATCCGTTATCGGTATATCATTAGGAAATTCTAGAGGTTGTTTTGGTATAACATTGAAAAATAACTCGAATTCTGTGTCGGCTATAAAAGGACATTGACCAAAAACAAAGCAATAAAGAGTCACGCCAAGTGCCCATATATCAATTGCTTTTGTAATAGGAGGTCGTTGTGCTCGCAAATTGACACTACTATCCGACTTTGATTTTGATTCAGAAGAGGTTGTCGCATTTTCTGAAATAATCGAAGCAGGAGATATATCTCTTGTTATGTCACCTTAAAATGAGTGTAAATCAATATTAATAAGTCCTAATTATATGATGCCATCTTTTTTTTTATTTACCAGGAAAACATAATTCTGGCGCAAAAAAAGCTGGGCTACCAGCGGTCTTTGTTAAATCTGTATCATCAGTGTTTATCTGATTTTTCCCTTGTGAAGATAATGTTCTTTGACTAAAATGTGATACACCAAAATCGGAAATTTTAACTACTTGATCGCCTGTAAGCAATAAATTGGCCGGTTTTATATCGCGATGTATAATTCCTTGATGATGAACTATATAATAAATATTAATTAATTAAGATATAATTTATGTTTGATTACATAATACAAATAAATAAACATAAATATTTTCACTCACGATATTCCAAACCAACCACAACATCCCTAAAAATTCGCCTTGCCTTATCAATACTCATAACAGGTTGATCATTTTCATTTTTCCATTGTATTTCTCCACCTTCCATATATTCAATTACTAAAATAAAATAACAAAGATCCAATTGAATAAACAAAATACGATTAAATAAAATTAAAAAAAATTTAAGCTACTAAAATAAAAATTTTTATTATTAAATACTTATAAATAAGGTTACAATAAAAAAAACCCAAAAGCTTACTACAAACCCCATCTCTATCTTGCTAGTGTTCAATCCAACATACCCATATAAATCTTTCTACTAGCCGGATTATCAATAACTTCTTTTAATCTTACAACATGTGGATGGATGCATTTTTTCATTATCGCAATTTCTTTTCTAATTTTTTGTTCATTTGTAAGATCATTGTTACGTTGTCCCAAACGACGGCGTGTAGCACGGTCAACAACTTTTATAGCCTTTATATTTATAATATTGTTAAATTAATTAGTCTTATTTTTATTAGATATAATTACAATATATTAATGTATTTTCAATATTAAAAAAGGGATACACTTACAAACAATTCACCTGTTTCCATGTCCTTTCCTAATTTAACTTTACCGTGCACTCCTCGGCCCAATTCTCTAATTAGCATATATTTGTTGATCATCTTATTTCCTGTGCTAGGGTCATAGTCCTTGCACACAGTATTTGTCTCCTTCACTTCTATAGAAGGGACACTGTGATGACGGTAGGACATTTTATCTTTTTTACTTTGATCGATGGCATGAGAAACAAGTTGCTGTGAAGATTGACGATTATGATTAGAAGACGAACTAAAAAACGAAAATATGGATTTAGAGGTTGTAGGTGACGAAACTGAATTGTTATTATTGACTTTGGAAGATGTTGAGGCAGTCGATAAAGTAGATTCAGACATTTGTTCACAAAAGATGCTAACGACCAAGAAACTTTTGAATTTTATTAATGATCGACGGGATGCATTTTGCTTAACCTCTCATCTTATCTTACTAACAAATATTAGGATATACCAAATTTAGATGATGCTCGTGAATTTTTTTGTTTTTGCAAATGATGTTAAAACGGGTCATCCTAGAATTAGAAAAGTGCTCGGAAAAAAAAGTAAGCCGGAAAAAAGAAATGAACTCGGATCAAAAGATGTTCAGAAAATTAGAAATTCCTGATAAGTTATGGTTGTCTATCAACTAATGATTATCTTTTTTCCATATCAGATATTAGTAATCGAGTTCTTTAAATTTCTTAATTCTAGCTAAAAATGTATTACCCGATTGATAAAATTTATATCGGTTTCTTTTTTATTTAAATTATCAATGGAAAAGTAACATTAGTAACGAGTAGAATACAGGACTTAATAAAAGCATTTCTCAAGAATGGTTATCTATAGAAAACAAAATATCTTGGTTATATTTTGAATTAACAAAAATTTATTTACATAAATTATAAAATAAACTCTTGTAAAAAAGCTGCTACTGAATTGAATAGTTTAGGAGGATCAGGAGAATGTATTACAATAAAAAGAATGTGAGGAAATAGCCAATAAAATTGGTTAGAGTGAAAATGATAAATTGGATTAAAAATAATTCTGGGGGTTTCCACCTGAAAATGCAGATAAAAAGTTTAGATTAAATATTATTGGTGTTTATTTTGTTGGTCAAACTGGAACAAAAAATAAACTTTTCTTAAGGTTACAACTTACAAGCTCCAAATTAATTAATTGCTCACCTTTTCTTAAGCAAGAAAGGTGTTATTGGAGGTCTTGAGGGTCTTATTAAACGGGTAGTCTGTAGCACATTCTCTTGCAAGGAATTTGATAGTTTATCTCACGTAATTTTTATTTGTAAAAAAAAATTCCTTGAAAAAGGTAGTCCAAGTGGCGCAAATGTTAATGTATCAAAATTCAGTAGGCAGACTTTTTTTTTTGAATGTTAAACCGCATTAATTCGTCATCCAGTAATTTTAGAAGACGATCATAGGATTCGTCATGATGGATGAGACGCATCGAATAGTAGTATTTCATGTCTCTACCTCGATAAATAATGAAAAGTCTTTAAACTTAAAAATACCAATAACTTTTCATCTAATGAAGATACACAAAATACCACCATTCGATGCGTCTCATTATGACAAATCCAATGAGCTTTTGCGATGTAACATCTCGACATTTTGCATACTAAAAGTGATTACCGAATTGGACGCAAAAATATCAAAGCTTTACATCGTCTATCGATCGTAGAGGGAAAGCTCATTGGATTACGCATCGAATGATGGTATTTTCATGTCTCTAGCCTCAATAGATGAGCAATTTTTAGGTTAAAGACTTTTTTGAAAACAACTCGTTACTATATCTCGTCATGACATGCAGTAAACATTCGAAAAAAAAAGTCTGCCCGTGACTTTTGATAACCTATTGTAATGGTCATCGGGTCGGGAACACAAATGACTACTGTATATATGTTTATTTATTTTCTCAGGATGTAAATCCGATGTTGTTGATATCTCGCCTAACTTGAGTATTAAAATTGGTAGTAAGAATTGGGCGAATCTAGTTTTTTATGAACTTTAGGCATATTTAACCGGAATATCAGGTCAAATTAGGTTAACAATGACTTTCATAATAAGTTAAGAATCATTTTCTACAATAAGAAACTTTTGTTTATTATATAATTCGATATACCAAAAAAAGTTTTTTTTATAAATTGTATGCTGTTAATAATAAATTAAAAAAAATATTAAGTGTTCTTTTTTTACATTATATTTAGACATTTTGTTGTTCATATTAAATATTAAAATGTTTGAAAAAATATTTATACTGTATTATAAGATATTTAATACTAATAAAATCTCATTTTCACCTAACTCTATGTGCAATAAATATATATGATAAATGTATTTATAAATGTATTAATCTTAACCCAAAAGTTCATTATTATTATAATTATCTGGTTGACTTCGAGGTTTTGGACCTGCCAATACCCACAGGTATTACACCACCAAAACTTCTACTTTTAGAAGGTCTATTAGTAGTGCTATTAGTTCCATTGGAAAGAACAGGTGAAGTTACTAATGGTGTATTACCATTGGGAATACTATTTGATGGTGGTGGAGTATTAATTTTTGTTATTTTGTCTTCGACCATTTTAACCAATAAATCAGAATATTTTTCTAATAAATTTTGTGTATTATCTTCAGATAATTGTTCTTGTTGTTTATTTGAATCATTACTTAAATTATTAGTATTATTGATTGGAGGCGAATATTGAACCCCATGTGTCGTTAATGCTGTCGTATAAGAAACGTTTGATTCTACATCACCTTCATCATCATGATCAATATTATTACTGTTAATTGGCTCAACAATTTCTGGTACTTTAGGTTGTTGCTTATTATCCTCTATACCAATACATTTTTGAATATCTTCCATCATTCCTTTCAAACTTTCAGAAAGTAATTTGGTGATACTTTCATTCTTTTTATTAGATGACGCTTTATTGTATGTTGTAAGTACTTTCTCTAACAAATCAGTCAACATTATCACATCCTTCATTATACCATCTTCATTATCTGATGTCAGTGTATTACTTGTACTATGACGAGTAATTGCTTCTATTAATAAAAACGAAGTTTTTAGTTATATTATTCTACAAACAATAAATTGAGCAGAAACAAAAATATTATTATTACCATCAGTATCAGAATCATTATCGGCAACTTTATCATCAACAGTAATGCCGAGACCATAACCTTTTTCAATGATTTTTTTGGATCCATCTTCGATAATTATACTTTTACTTTTATCTTGTTCCACTTGTTCCACTTGTTCCACTTTATCGTGTTTAGCAAGTGTCGAGGGAGAAGTCGGTAACGTCTTTTTATCAGTGTTATTATCAGTAATAATAGGTGATGATGGTTGCTGTTGCTCGTCTTCAACGTTAGCTTCACGTTCTTTACTAATTATTTCATTAGCTTTTCCCTGTAAAATTTCTAAAGCTTTTTCAATTTTATCTTCATTTTCTCCATTAAAATCATCATTCCCATCAGGATTACCCATTATTTTAGTTAATGCTTCCACTAAACTATTTCTTCCACCATTCGCAGTTATATGACTCCCAGAATAAAATTTCGTTGTAAAACTTTGACGTTTTTTTGACATTGCATCACTTGCTTTTTGATCATAATTTTCTTCAGAATTTTGATCATGTATATTCTCACCAAAACAACCTTTTACAGGAGTTTGTAAATATATTTCCAACTTCTTGGCATTATCTTCTCCACTATCTACATCCTCCTCTTCTTCATTTTCTTCTTGTTCTCCTTCATAGCTAATTTCGATTTCGATGTCTTTATCGCTTCCTGAAGGCGATTTTGCTCTATCGTCTAATTCAACAACTTTAATACTTCCAACGAAACTACCTCTACGGCGATTTCTATTAGAAGAATTACCTTCGTCATCGACAGTTTCATCAAATTCCTCTTCTCCTTGCGACTCAATATAAATTGTTTCGGTATCTTCATTATCATCATTCGACGAATTTTCCCCTGCATTCGGTGAAGAAATATCATCATCATCATCATCATCACCAAAATCGTCTTCAATCGTAGGCCGAGGTCGATTAGATGATAAAGGCGGTGATAGAGTTAATGATTCATCCATATCAGAAAATGAGCTAAATTCATTATCATTCGTATCATTTGAATTGACTCTCAACATAGATTTAGTTGAATCTTGACGTAATTTACTTCGTGACTTGACTTTAGGAATTGATTTACCAGGTATAGCGGGTAGTTTCTTTTCAAAATTAATTGGACTACGAACAGGAAATCCATTATCTGACGTGATGTTTGCAGTCATGTTTTCTGCCGAATCTTTAGGTTTCTCTCTCTCTTCCTCTTTATCTTTAGAGCTCTTCTTTTTAGCCCAACTTAGTAATTTCCATGACTCTCTTTTTGCGTGATTTGGTGATGATGGTGGTGTAGATATTACATCAGCTATAGAAACTACAGGTCGGGACGGTGAAGAAGGTGAAGAAGGTTGGGGCAAACGACTATTTGAAAACTCAGATGATCTAGGAGATGTCGGAGAAAATTCTGATACAGGTCTTGGAGAAGGTGTAACTTGTGCAGATTTAAATTGTTCTGTGTTATCATTAGAAAATGATGCGGGTCTTCTTGGCTTTTTCAAAGATTCCTCGGACCGAAGATCTGCGGGTGTAAGAGATCCGAGAGATTTTTTTGCTTTTAAAGGTGCTCTTCGTACTGTAAATTCTGGTTCTTGACCATCACTCGCTTGAAGATCCATCATAAGTGATTGTGGTTTCTGAGCTGGCATAGTCATTCTTGGTTGAGATGATGGTGGAGTTTGTGTTGGTGAGAGGTGAGGTGAGATTTTTTCCATCGATTGACCTACTCCACTTCTATCCAAAAATTTTTGTCTCATTTTAGTTACTAATTCATCAGAAACTTTCCATACAAAAATACATCCATCTGCCGATGTTGATATTACACGTTCACAATCTGGTGTAAATTTAACTCCTGTAATTAATTCTGAATGTCCCAACACTTTACCCAATATATTACCATTTGAAAAATCAAAGAGTCTAATACTCTTGTCAGAGCCACCAGTAACTGCATGTACACCTCCAGGATCCAAAGAAATCTTAATAAGACTTCCTTCTTGAGCGTTGACTTCTTCGGGTGTATCAGATTTATAAGAACGAACATTCTTTCCTGTATCAATATGAAACACATTTAATCGACGTTCGCCAGATACAGTAGAAATATATTTGTTTGTTATATCAATATCCATGTCAAACACTGTAGATCTTCCTGATATATTATGATACGTCACATAACAAGGAAACCCGCCATTCTAATAAAAAAAAATAATAATAATTTTTTTAAATAAATATTTGATATTGGATTGCATAAAGCAATTTTTTTTTCGTTATTAATCATACATTTTGTCGGCTTCTGAATATAATACTTTTATCGGCACCGCAACTAATCAATCTTCCGCCATCATTAGTAAACTTTATGGCGGTTATTGAAGAAGAATGATCATCCAATGTTTGTATTAATCGGAAATTATTTTTAATATCAAAAACGTGCAATATTCTGTCTCGACTCGCGGTGGCAATTAAATACGGCGAATCTAATAAAAAATAATTGTTACTACAATATTATGTCGTAAATTTATTTCTCTTTTGTTTTCACTTACCAGGCAAACTTCCATTGGTAAATTCAATAGTTAAAATTTCTGCATCGTGTGCTTCTTGATAAGTTATTTCTTTAAAGGTGTCAAGGTCATGCACTCTAAAAATTATGAAAATCATTTTAAGCGATTCTATAAAGAAATATATAAACACAAAAATTAAATTTTAAATACCTTAAATTTCCTCCTCGATCTCCAGATGCCATGAATTTACCATCTGGACTAATTCTCAAAGTACGAATGCCAGCCTCAACTGGCGCAACAGAATTTCCCGTATTATTATCCGATGATTCTAAAATATTTAATTATTAATACGAATGTATAAAAGTACAAATAATAATTCTTATATAAAAAAAGATTAATATAATACCATTCTCGTCATTTTTAGCGGCAACAACAGCACCAGATTTGTAAGTTCCGTCGGGATCAACATAAACGATCTTAATACATTCTTTGCTATAAATATTCCTTTTAATATTACTAGATCCAGGTTCATTTCCACCGGCAGAAATAGGATTATTATCGAAATTCCAAAATCTAATTGTGCTATCAGCAGAGTACGTTACGAACGTATTTTCAGGAAATGAAGTAGTAGTGGCTGTGGAATTACGACTTGGAATCATCTGAAGAAATGACAAAGAATTTGTTTCAATTACTATCTTTAAAAATAATGCATGTATCGGCGGCATACATTATACGCATTTTGCGTAAAATTATAAAATACCATTTCTATGATATACTCTTTGCGATAAATTATTTATGAAGAAATTCTTACCTCTACACCCCATATTGTATCACAATGGTAAAGAAAACTTCGATATTTTCCTATCTTCTTTATGTCTTTGATATCCCATATGAAAAAACTATGATCGCTATATATACATGAGAGTTTACCGGTTTCGGCGTCCAACTTAACTGAAACTGTATCAGGATATATTTCATTTGGATCACCAGAACCATTATATGTGGTTCCAGTTTGTAAAGTTAAATCAACTCCTAGTGGATGTGGTTTCGGTAAAGTGCCTATATACTTTAACGTTACCGGTTCAAATAACCTGTGATCAGGTTAAACATAAGTTCTAAAATAAGTTCATATGAAATAGAAATAATTTTTTTTTTTTTCTAATATTTACCTTACAATTCCGTTTGTACATGCACACACAATATATTGTTCGCTAACGGCAATCGACAAGGCGCCTTTGACCTACTTTATCAAAAATTTTAATTTACTTAGAATATTGTGCATAAAAAAAAAAAAAAATATTATTACTTTCTTCGTAAATTAAATTTTCACAGACCTTCAAATCAACCCATTTATCCATTAACCTGGCCTCCGTAAACATGCATAATAATCCATTGGAGGTAACAAAATATGTGTGGTCTGATTTTTGACAACAAACTGCATCAACAAAATTGTTTTCTCTTAAATCTCCCAATATACCAGAACGTCCATCCAAAACTTGAGCAGAGTTTTGTATGGATTGACCCTAATAAATTTTTTAAACCCAATATTTTTCTAAACAATACTATTATTTTACAAGAGTTTTTTATTACAAGCTAAAATTACTCACGGCTGGTTTCTTTGGTAGATTACCATTTGGATCAAAATACCAAAATTTCACGTGTCTTAGACCAGCCGTCACGAAAAACGATCCGTTACGACTGAAAGCCAAAGTGTGAACTTTTGTAGTGATTTTATTACATGCGACTTTTGCGCCCGTTTTCCAATTCCACACATTTAAATATCCATCATGCTAAAAATATAACACCAAGAAAGTCAATAAATTTATGCATTAAATGTCCTGTTTGTGATTTGATGTGATTTATGTTGTTCAACTACCTGAAAACCCAATGATACGATATATTTCATATTCGGTGAGAAAAGAAGTGCTAGTACTCCATACTTGTGTCCTTTTAGTTCATTTATAAGTGTTCTTGATTGAACTTCCCATATTAAGATACGCGGTTGATGGCCGGTCTAAATAATAATAAAAATATGTTAGATTCGTGTAACAATGTAGATCATGCGGTGCAATGTTCGTCTGACGCATATTATTTTAACACGATACAATACCTCACCAACAGCCAAGAAATTACCATCAGGAGAAAATGCCACGCAAGATATTGGTTTTGCTTTATTACTAACAGGGGTTTTCTTTGAAGAACTACTAGCATTATTTGAACTAGCTACAGAAGGGTCTATTAAACCCAAAGAGCCTAATGGATTTATGGTAACATCTCCAGCAATCGTATGACGATTTGGGAAAGCATTCGACCACGAAGCAGAATTTGCTTGATTTGAAAGGGGTGATGGAGAAGCGGTTGATGATGCATGTAAGAAACCTACTTGCTTATTTTTTTTATGATTATATAATACCACAACAGAACCAGCTGCATAGGCTACGAGATCTAATGAAGGGGCTGTTGCCATTGAAGTTGGTTTTGATGCTGTTAACCCAAGAATTCTTTCTAATTCAATCTATAATGTTAAAAACATATAATTTGTTAATTTTTATAATCTCTCAAAATAAGATCAGCATAACATTAATAAAATATTTATCACAAAAAAGTAATTTTTTAATTTTATTATGTTTGACCTATAAATAATTATAGAAATATAACTTAGAATATTATTAAGATACTAACAGCAGGAGCAGCATTTTCGCCTTTCTTTTTACGTCTCAGACGATTATTTTGAGGATAAGAAGCAACAGTAAGTGGTCTTGAAGATCTCGGGGCAAACATATTTTATAAAAATTGTACTCAAAGAACTAAATTACACGGCGGTAATAAAAGTTTCAAGAATAGTTTTTTTATATAAAAATCTGTTAAAAACTCGGAGTTATAGTAAGAGGATATATTTACTACTTTTATATTAGTGTTGAGTGATAGAATGACGAAATATTTATTTTTCAATTTAAAAAAACCAAAAAAGTTTTGTATTAAGTATGAATTGGTTGTTCTTTCTAGACTTTTATATTAAAGTCCGTATTTTTCTTTTTTTTAAAAAAGGGAGTTTCTTTAAGTTAAATATTATTCGTTATGTAATAATATTAATTTCGTTTTGGATATATTGGGTTAATTTTAAATTTTTTTCGTTAGCGCGACGCGAAGAATGTGAAACAGAATAGGAAGTTCCAAAGATTTGAAACAAAGAAAATAGTTCAATTTTACTATAAAAAGCACTCCCAAATAAAAAAGAAATCGAAAAAAGGTAATATAATCTCTCTTTAGAAGTAATGTAATGTTTAAGGAAGATATATACAAAGAAAAAAAATTTTTTTTCCCTTTTTTTTTTTTTTTTTGAGGTGATATATATATATATATTGATATAATATATATATCAAAGAGAGTGGCGGAAAATTGTGAGAGTTGGGGATTCTTTTTTGGGAAGTAAGATATAGGTAGCTCGATTTCTTTAAATGGGAAGTCTCGCAAAAAAAAAGTTTCGTTTAGAAAGCAGACAAATTCGGTATATACTATATATATATATGGTATAAAAAATCATTAGTTAAGGAGGATCACTTGATTGAACTTGAAGTTAAATAAGGAAATTAGAGGGGATCAAAAACTTAAATATAGAAGCAGTGTATGGTGATACAACATCTCGATGATGACAATAGCGATGTTGAGTTTAATTTTAATAATGTGATCAAAACAAATAATTTTTATTTCTTTTGTTTGTACCAATTGTCATTAATTCACACTTTAATGAAATATACCAATCAAAATTTATTTATTATTTTACATGCAAATTATGATTAACCTTACAATGTTCGGTTATAATTATCATTTTTCATCATACTTTATATCGTTAAAAAAATAATGTTGAGAACCAATCAATAATCTGAATTATCTAATTTATCCAAATGGGCTTAAATGCTAAATCGTAAAATATGACGTTTATTGTTTTATATTTTTTTACATCGCAACTAACCTCTTAATATCAAAAAAAAATTGCGCGTAACGCTATAATTTACAGATTTGCAGATAATAAACCCGTAAAAGATATATGAAATATATTGATGAGCTTTTAATTTTTTTTAAAATACAGTTAGAACAAGTTTATAAGCAGGTTTTTTTTAATATTATGCTATGATCAATGTTACATAATGCAATGTATAGCATGATGACTATTGTTCATTGCGTAATTATAGATTAGTCTGAAACTTTAGTTCTCCAAGATTTCATGTTAAATAGATCCTCTTTTGGTTCTTTTGAAGGTTTATACTGGTCGTCTCTTTGCCTTTATAGTTAGTGTTGGTTTTACCATAATATCAAAAGTTGTAAAAACTCTCGAATTTTTCTCTTTCAACAGAATACATATCAAGTCAATATTTTAGCTCTTTGCTTGTTGCATTGAGATTTGAGAGGCTTTTTTAAAATATATATATATATATATATTCATCGTTAAAAAAGAACTGAAATAGTCAATTATGTTTGAATTTACTGTGTAATGTTTGAAATTTCATCATTGTTATGATCTTCACTTTTGAATATTAATCTGTTTCACAAACCCTGATCATCATAGGATTTATAATGGTCTCATTGGAACCATAAACGTCCAAATGGTCCGCTTGTATCAAAATTATGGAATCACATGAAAGCAAGGAAATTGACAAATGTAACCACATAAATACATCAATATAGTTCCTTTTTTGTGATCAAGATAAAAAATTATAACTCATGTGACTACTAATTTCTTTTTCACGTGACCAAAGTTTTCTTTTTTCAAATTGCATAAATTGCATTCGATTTATATAAGGATTTAGCTATAATATAATCACTTTGCAAAGAAAACAATCACTATCACAAATAATTATTTTTGCAGGAATAAATGTTTTTTAATAAATTTTTAATTAGTAAATTGAAAAACAAATTGACAATCATATTTGTTGAATGCAGTACCAGCTATATCATCAAATTGTGCAGACACGCAAATTAAAATATCTAATTCACCATTTTCCCTTTCACTAATTTTATTGGCATTTTTCTTTTATCGTAATATCAGCTGTGATTGGAATACATTCTCCCGACCTATTCAATCCTGTAGCGGCTTTTTCACAAAAATAGAATTTTATTAGATTATTTCTAATTTTAAAACTTCGACAAACCATATTTTACCTTCTTCAAGAATTTTAGAGGAAATATAAAATTTTGCACCATTCTTAATAAATGATTTTGATGTCATTTTACCAAGTCCTGTACCTTCTCCTGTTACTAATACTTCAACTTTCAACTTTTGCCAACGCGCTTGTTTTTCTACTTATAACTTTGCCCTCGTTTGGCATCATTTGATTGTAATACTTTTGCTGCAAAGATACAAAAATCCACAAGCATCATCAAAATTTGATGTCTTATTCAATTTCTCCATTTCATTTAATTCAATTAGATGAAAAGAGAACCAAAATAAGTTAGATGTGCATCCTGATCGTTTAATAACCTAAATGTAAATGATTTATTTATATAAACAAAATGAATTCGTCAATTTACATCATGTTATTAAATGATAATTTGCTCAAATAAATTGCTTTTGAAATTGTTCTGAATATAAATCATCTCGGTATCATATCATTTCCGGAGCTTTCCTTAGCTTTATTGAGTAATTGTACGGTGAAAACTTATAGGTAATAGTTCCCCACGGGAATTGTAAATTTTGATCGCATATTATTATATATATATTGCTCCAAACATGTATCAGATATATTAAGAATGCGTCCAGCATTTTCTTTTCAAATTTGACTCTTTGCAATTACACGTAGTTTTAGGAAATTTGATGTCGATCCCGAATTTATATACTGTACTTGCCCCTTTTCAATTTATTCATACCACCTTTTTTTAGTAATAAATAGACAGGTTTAGTATTTGCTTTATCTCTAATTTTAAAAATTTGTGGAATAAACCTTTAAGGCTAGAATTCTCACAATAATTTAACTTCTTTTGCGCTAAACAATAAACAACTTGCGTCAGAAATATGATCTACAAATTTTTTTAAATATTGATCCGCATCGCATCCGAAAATTTTTTTCTTCTTTAATGTTTGAAAACAATGGGAGAAAATTTATTAGCACAAAATTTATTTTCACTTAAAGGAAAAGTAGCATTAGTAACGGGAGGAGGCACAGGACTTGGTAAATCGATTTCAAAAGCATTTGTCAAGAATGGTGCAAAAGTTTATATTGCCTCTAGGAAGCAAAAAAATCTTGAAGAAGGTATAATTTAGTTTATTTTTTAACATTATAAAATGATTTAATAAAATTCTATTTTTATGAAAAAGCCGCTGCTGAATTGAATAGTTTAGGAGGGCCAGGAAAATGTATCCCAATTACAGCTGATATTACTATAAAAGAAGAATGTGAAAAAATAGCCAATAAAATTAGTGAAAAGGAAAATGGCAAATTGGACATTTTAATAAATAATTCAGGTACGTCATGGCCAACTCCTTTAAAAGAAGTCCCTGAAAAGGTTTGGGATAAAGTTTATAGATTGAATGTCATAAGTGTATATTATATGACTATTGCGTAAGTAAAATAATAATAATTTTTAAAGATTGATAATTTGAATTTCATATAAATTTTAATTTGGTTATTTAGTTGTCTGCCTTTACTTGAGAAAGCAAGTAATGCACCAGAAAATCCTTCCAAAGTTATTATTATGGGTAGTATTGCTGGTATAATTGAAGGGGATTTTAGGAGTTTGGATAAAATGAAAATGAATAGAACCACTATGGTATATAATACTTCAAAAGCTGCAGCGCATTCTCTTGCAAGGAATTTAGCCGTTTATCTCACGTAATATTTTTAGTTTTTTTTCGTTAATTCTTTTGTTCTAAAAATTAAACTATCTTTTTTAATTAGTCCATGTGGTGTGAATGTTAATGTAATAGCCCCAGGAATAATTCCTTCACGAATGAACTTGAGTGTCCTTGATAGAAAACTTGCTATGGAGGAAATTCCACAAGGTTATTATTATTACATTAAATTCCATTTGCCTGAAATAAAAAAAATAATTTTAACGTGTGGCTAATGATCTTTAGGACGCCTTGGTAATGAAGAAGATATATCTGGTGCAGCCTTGTATCTTGCTTCTCGTGCTGGAGCTTGGGTAACTGGTACCACAATTAGAATCGATGGTGGAACTCTTTTATATGGTAAAGATGTGGGAAGAGAGTATGCTATTGCAAATAAATCTAAATTATAATTATACACGTGTCTGTCTTTTTTCTGAACTAAGAAAATCAATGATCAGTAAAAATATAGCAATGATACAAAATCGTTTATTTTAGAATATATTTTGGGGTTTGATCTTAATATAATTCTGTAATTTTTCAAATTTGTATTGACAATTGATATTGTAGTTCAATCTATTTATATTTTATTTCTTAAATTGTGAAAAAAATAAGGGTATTCATTTAAATTGTTTGAAATATTAAAAATTTTTGTGATAGCAATTAGTTCATTAGATTTATCTTTCGTATAATATAAAGATAACATATAAATTGTCATCATATTAAATGTGGTTTTTATTATAAATAAAAATTGAATAAATTATAATTAAATCTAATAATCTAATAAATTAAAATTAAGCAAATCATTATATGTATTCATTAATATTAAATTTCTTATTAATTAATTAAAACTTTAAATTTTTATATGAATGGATTATTAGTTTTTAATTAAGAAATTGAATTAAACTATTATAAAAATAAATTTAATTTTATATTATAATTTATATTAATTTTCTCAATAATCTGATAAGACTAGACTAAGGTAAATAGTTTTTTCTTTTCTTTTTGTTTTTTTAAACAATATATATTAATAAATTTGATTGAAAAAACTATATAACTGTTCAAAAATTATAAAAATTATTATAATATTCATATTTCAGTCAATTAAAAATCTTTGTTTAATTATATTTCTCCTTATCACTTTAACTTTACATACATATTATATTAAACAAACCTTTTAATTGGTCTAGTCTAATTAAAATTAAATATATTATAAAGAAAAGTTTATTTTATAATATATGCAATTTTGTTTAATTTAGATTATTTATTATTAAAAAATTCAGTATGTATAATAATTTATATATTTAAAATAAAGATAAACATTTTAACTATTTTAAAGAATATATTTATATTATTTTTTTTAAAAAAATAATTCTTATAAATTAATATTAAAATTTTAATATTAATAAAGTATATTATAAACTTTTTATAAATAAAATTTCAGTTTTACGTGATTTTTTTTTAATATATTGTAATATATTATAAACAAAAAATATTTTTTTTTATATAATAACAATAAAAAAATTTTAATTCAAAAAATCTTAAAAGTAAAATAAAATATTATAAATTACATTATTTGCTTAACTCTCCTTCTGATTTTTTTTTTAATCTTTTCATTTTTATTATTTATATAAAATATAAAAATATAAAATAAAATAAAATATAAGAAATAAAAAAAAAGTATAGATTTAATAAAATAAATATATAATAAAATATCATAAATTATTATAAATTTTCAAAATACAAAATAATAAAATTATTTAGTAATCATTAATTTTTACTAATAAAATAATTTTTAAATTATTTATAATTAATATCATTACTATTACCAAATTATTACATTTAATTTGGTTAATTAGTATGCAATTATACAAAACTTTTAAAATTGAAATTTAGTAATAATCTATTATCTTCAAATTTAATAGAATCAATATTATTGAAATTTGAAATTATTTTACAAATATTTAGTTTTTATTTCATATTTTTAATTAATAAAATTACCATACTACATTGCACATATATAATACTCTAAGTATTATACAAAATACTTGATTTAAAAATTATATAGTACAGTGTGTGACAGCATAAGACATCCACTTTTTATTTGAGCAACCAAATTTTATTTCTTATATATATCACGTGACCATAATAAATCACATGATTTTATATTTTAAACTAATCAGAATTAAGCATCAATCATATAAAAAATCAATATTTGTTAAAATCGAATTAAGTATCGTTCTATGTGACTTAAATTTTTGTACAGCATATTCAGCTTGTTTAGCATCCAAACCTTTTCTATAACAATCCATATATCATGCAGACTTTCTAGCATATTTTCTAATATGACTAACAGGAACTGAATCTAATACAAGTGGAACAACTCTTTGTAATTCTGTCCAACTATAGTCATATTGCTGACGAGCATACCGTTTTGCTGCTCCCCAATACATTTCAATATAATTAAGTTCACAATAGAACTTTGAATAAAATATAACCTTATGACCTTTTGCTTCAATAATTTCTTAAATTAAAGGTTTAGTATCAAGAAAATCAGGTTAATTTGAAAGAATATGCCTTGCATAACATTGAGAATTAACATTATATTCATTATTACCACAATATGCTTTCAATATTATTAATGGCTATAAACCTCTTTCTTCTAAAATAATTTTCATTCCTTTAAGTTTTTTGCGTAAATTTTTATTATAATAATTATTTGGAAAATTCATATGTTGAATTTGTCCATTAAAGATTATATTACGTAATTTAGCCTGTTTCTCACTTAGATTCAAGTTTATATGATTTGCATTTAATGCATTATCAGCATATTTTCCATGACTTGAAGAATTATCAAAGGCAAATACAGCAATTGCACTTGGATGAGTTTTTTCAAAAATAAGTATAGCCCAATTTACTATCTAAATAATTACAAATATCAATGTCAATTACTAATATTTTTCAAATATTTTTTAATTTATATATTTATTACCTGCTCAAGTAACTTATCTATATTCCACCATCCATCAAAGTTTTTACAGAATCCCACTTACTTATAAGATAGGTCACCCCAAGCCTAAGGTAAAAATCATATATACAGAGGGCGATCAAAATTATCTGGCTACTTTAAAAATAAAAAATTTTTATAAAAAAAAAATAAATATTTAAAATCAATGTTTTTATTTATGATTTAATTTATTAAATTATGTAAAAATTAATAATTAATTCTATTACCATTTGCGGCAATAACTGCCTCAATTCTCTTAGGCATACTATTAACCAATTTTTTATAATATTCTGGAGAAATATCTTTCTATACATCTTTAACATATTTTTTAAGCACTTTAATATTAGATGGTGGTGGTGTATGACGGTGAACCATCATTTTCATCTCTGTCCAAAGGTTCTCAATTGGATTGAGATCAGGACTTTGGGCAGGCCAATCAAACACCACAATTCTAGCGTTTTCACGTGCAGCTGTAGCAACCTTTAAACGATGTGATGAGGCATTATCTTCTTGGAAAATCCCATTACCTTGTGAAAAATGCCTTTGTAAAGTAGGTACAACATAATCCTTAATGGTTATAGCATATATTTGACCAGTAACTGAACCATTTAATGGAACATTTGTCCAAGTCCATTTCAGGAAAAACACCCCCAAAACATTTTACTAGGACTATGCTTTACAGTAACTGAAATACAATTAGGATTTAATTCTTCACCAGGTTCACGCCATATCTTTCCCTGATGTCCTTGTTGAAACTGTGTAAAAGTGCTTTCATCAGAAAAAAGCACACGTCTCCATTTTCTTGCACTCCAATTTTCATGCGCATAGCCCATTCAAGATGAGCCTGACAATGTGCTTCTGACAGTGCAGGTTTTTTACGAGATATACAAGCTGTTAGCCCAACTTTCTTAAGGTTACAGCGTATAGTAATAGCAAAAACAAGTTGTTCTGTATGTGCTGTCCATATTGTAGCAAGCTTTTTTGTGCAAAGTCAGCAGTTTTTACCATTTTCTTGAACAAATTCTTTAAGCTATTGCTGAGCTGGTGAATTAAGAAGGGGTGGACGACCAGTTTGTTTTTTTGGTGTTAAGGAGTGTGTTTTATGAAAGCGCTTAAGTATATCATTAACAGTTGTTTTCCCACATCCCAACTGTTTAGCAATTGTATAACTTGATTGTTCACAATTATGCCCATAAACAATTGCATCACATGTTTTTGGGGTAAGTGGCTTCATATTTTTAGAAAGTTCTAGAAAATATGAAGTTAAGGGGTATGTTTATCATGATTATAAATACAAAATAATGTATTGATTACATCATGTTATTACGTCATAATCGGCATAAATTTGCCAAAACAAAGTGGCCAGATAATTTTGATCACCCTCTGTAAAATTCTTTGCAGATCCTATTATAAAAGGAAATTTTATGTTACATTGTTATGATTTTTTTTCTTTTTAGCTAATTAACCAATAAAATTTAAGAAAAAAGTAAGGTAAAAACTATTAGTAAAGGGCTAATTTTCTACAGTGACCTTTATTATAAGTAAGCAGGATCCTGTTTTTACCTGGATTAATCATTACACGTACTTCATGATACATAGAATTCCCAACTTCTTTTATTTGATCATTATTTAATTTTAATCTTCTAATAATATCTGTTAAAAAATCACTAATATGAATTAAACATCTCTGACCCTTTTTACGTAAAGGTTATTCTTCATTTGACATCCATCCAGATTTTAGGCTATCATTTGATTGGAATATAGTTTCATCATGAATAACAAGTATATGTAATTTTTCATTTTCATTTAAAATTGGATCAATTCATCTTTCAAGATTATTACTCTCAAATGTTGGCATTAGATTTTGATACCTAAAATAAAATTATAATATTATATAAATTATATTAATTAATTAAATTTATTTAAATCTATTATTCTTAGATAAACTTACATGCTAATTCTTTCAAAAAATTGTTTTCGGTATTCAACTACATCTGGTCTTTCATGTCCATCTACATACATTTCTTTTTGATATCTATCATAAACAAATCCCATTTTTTTCAACCATCTATTTGCTGTTCAAATACTTAAAATTAAAGTTATTGTTAATAATTAAATATTATTCAAAAACTTAAAGGTAAATATTTGATTTTTTACCTTATTGTTGTTTTTGTTTCAATTCCTAAGGATGGCAATATTTCTGACAACACATAATCACAAAAACTTTGAATTATTACATTATATTTTACTTTTCGTAAATATGATAAAATTTTAAGCCAAATATCTTCATTATCAATTAGACTTTTTCCTGGATATTTACCACGACCAATTTGTAGAATATTGTCATATAATGCATATGATTTAGCCCAAGTTTGAACACATTTTAAAAACTATTCTCCACAATTTAGTAATTGTCTAGCAGATTCCAATTTACAATAACCAGATTTCTGTAATTGAAAAAAGTATTGAACTGCTTTATATTGAACCTTTTGACCTGATGTTATTTTTTTATTAGTTTTAAGTTTATTCTCAATTTTTAAGATATATTCATCTAATAATTGATTGTTTAACTCATCACTCCCTTTTTCTTTTTTATCATCACCATTCCCTTCTCTTTCATCATCACCATTTCCTTCTTCTCTTTCATCATCATTCTTATTCAATATAAAAAATTTATCTAATGTTTGACCATTAGCCTTAATAGCTTCATGTATAGACTTCCTTTTCCTTCTTTTTGTTCTATCAGAATTTCCATGATATGTAAGTAGACGTTTAGATGGTTTTAAATTTTTTATATTATCAACTAGAATTTGAAATAAACTTTTTTTATTAAAGTATCCATCTTCCCACTCAAATCCTTCTTCATTATCAGAGGAATTATATTTTTTTTTATCATCTAGATTTTCAAAAAACTAAAAAAAAAGATTAAAATTATGAAGATAAAGAATATGATTTTTTCATTTATTTATACCTTTTGTTGCTTTACTTTTGCAGAAATTTTTGCTATTTTTCGCAAATGTAAAACTTTTTTTTTACTCTTGGCATTTTTGATTACAAATTGTCAGATCTTCATGTATTATTAGTTTATTATGTTGTAAACGGCCAAATATCAAGCATGAAAAGATGATAAAATTCAATCACCAAATATAATTGCCAAATATTAAGAACGAACAAATTAATTATGAATTGGCGTAGATGGATAAATGATTAGCCGAAAAGGATAAACATTTAGGCAGAGTAATGATCTACATGATGTAATATTTATCAAATGATTAACAAAGAACCAATAGAATAATTAGAGTCAATCAATTGCAGCCTAGCAATCTTTAACAATAAGAACAATTAGAAAGAATAATTATAAGCCACAAAAGATAAATCATATAAAATGGAGGAATAGCGGACTAAAGGAACACGCATAATGAAAATACATAAAAACAATAATATAAAAGATATTATAAAAGATAATGTAAAAGATAATATAAAAAGATAATATGAAAAGATAATATAAAAGATAATATAAAAGATAATATAAAAGATATTATAAAAGATAATGTAAAAGATAATGTAAAAGATAATATAAAAAGATAATATAAAAAGATAACATAAAAGATGGAATATAAAAGATGGATTATAACATATTAAAAATAGAAATATATTGAAAGATAGTGTATTAAAAAGATAATATAAAAGCATATTAAAGATAGCATATTAAAATGGCATATTAAAATGATAGCATATTAAAAGATAGCGTATTTAAAATATAGATAGCATATTAGAAAGATAGTTCAAAGATAATATGTAAAAAGAACATAAAAGATAGTATATAGATAGCACATATTAGAATAGAAAGTAGCATAAAATTTGTTTAAATAGAGAGCGGAATTCAAAGTAATTCCATATCTCAGAGAGATCGCACATCCACAATAAAAATATAAGTTTCATTTAATTATTTGTTAGTAAAGTTTAATATTAATTAAAGGTAATAGGTTCGCCCTAAACTTTAATTAATGTTTGCTTAATTAATTTTAATTGAATAAAATGAAAATTTTAAGATGAATTAAATATACACTTTTGAAAAGTAATAATTCGTAGCGAGAGCTATCGAAGTTTAAAATTAAAGGTAAAAGTGGATATAATTTGGAGAAAATTCAGAGAAGTTAAATTTATTTTATATCGTTCGACGTTTTATATTACTAACGCTATTTATGTTGTGAACCAAGAATGTTGTTGTTATATGTTGTTGTATGTTGTTTGTTAATTATGCCGTTGATTATTTGCTTGTTCGTTTAATTGTTCATTTGTTCGTTTATTCGTTCGTTCGACCATGAGAATGCCCGTTCTATGTGGCAACTCTGTAAATTGATGACAGAGGGAATAGAGGGATCTCAACGTACTATACGATATTTCATATAAAATTCATTATATTACATATTTACGATTTGGCCAAAATATTATAATGCAGGCCAAATTTATAAGGGTCAAATTGGAACCAGATATAGTAAAATTCCATATTTTAAAAGCCTATAACTTTTGATATAATAGTTCGATTTTAATTATCTCAGCGTAGTTGAATAGAGTTTAGTAATATCATCTCAATATTTTTTATTAATATTTGAAAATCATCAATTTTATTGGATGTCTTATGGTGTTACACACTGTACTCATGGACAGCAGCAATAATTTTGGCCAGAATTTATAATACCAGCCAGAATTAATGAATTACAAATCTGTGTAATATTAAAAATTTTTTATACCACTATAATTAGCCAATAACTAAACTATTTTTCTAGTATTATATAATATTAATTTAACTAGAATTACAAATTTAGCTAAAATTATCTAAGACTGTAAAATTTCATAATTCTAATTTTATTTAACATTTTTATTTAAAGTAATTTCATATTATTTCAGTATTATTTCAAATTATTGTTTAATATTTCTTTATAAATTAACTAATTATAAAATTTTAAATTAATAAAATATTTTTATATACAGTTAAATATTACTACAGATAAATGTGTTGAGTTAGTAAGACAATTTTTAAAATAAGATTCATTTTTTTTTAAAAAAATCAAAGAATTATTTAAATCAAATTATATTTATACTAAGATTTTAATTTTTAAAAAAAAGTTGTTATAATTATATAAATTTTATAAGGATTTAAATTTTATATGTAGGTGCATTGCAAATTTGCAATGCATCTTTTATAATATTTCATATATAAAAACCAAAAACACCACTCTAAATCATACTTTGATCTTTAAGTAAAATCATAGAATAAGCAAAATACATATAATATATATCTTTTAAAAGCTTTATAATATATATATAAAGTTTATGTGATATTTATTCAAAAATCAAAAAACTTAACAATGTTATATAATAAGAAATAATCAATATATTTAATATGAGAAAATTACCAAAAAGAAGATATATTATCATATGGAGTCTTTGCAATAGAAAGGTACGAAACTCAAAAAAAAATTTAATTTTACTTTATATGCTAATTATATTTTTTTTACTAAAATAAATGCAAATTTAATATTAATTTAATTTTTGATATTTTTTGAGTTTTGTATCTTTCTATTGTAAAGACCCCATATATTTGTGTAAAAATATTTTTTCCATTTTATAATATCTTAATTTTTTGTAATTTGATTTTGAATAATTTTCATTTTTTTTTTTTAACCACAATGTATTTATAAATTATTTAAAAATATTAAAAGTAAAATATATATAAAAGTACTACACTAAAAAAATATTTTTCATTTAAAAATAATATAAATATGAAAAATAATTTTTTATTTATTTTAAACTTCAGTTGGTCAATATATGATGCGAGTATTTTCAATGTTTTTACTTTTTAATATTTAAAATTTTATCTATAATGATCACACTTTAATAAAATTATATATTTATTTCTATAAATAATTTGTAAATTTTAATTATATAAATTATAATACTATGCTAAAAAAAACAAATAAAAATTTATTCAAATTCTAATTTAAATCAGATATTTTTTTTATTTAAATTATAATTTAAATAAAAACTGCAAATCCAGATATCTGAAAAAAAAATATTCAGTTTAATTTGAATACAGATTGAAATACTACTAAAAGATATATTAGTATACTCAACTTGTATTTATTAAAATTGATATTCTAATTAACTTTTTTTTTTATATAAAACTTATATATTGAATTGTATTCTATAAAAATATTAGACTTAAATTATTAGACTTAAAATTACCAATATGAGTTATTTTAGTGATATAGTCTGGTGCAAAAAGATTTGTACATCACTAAAAAAGGACAAGATTTACGCCAAAGAAAATTTTGTAAAACTAAACATAACGGGCTGAGATTTACATATTTATTAGTAAATAATTGCCTGAATTTGCTGATAAAAATTTTTTTTATTGTATGATACTTCCTTCTTCCTTAAAATGAAGTGGCATACCACTAACAGACAATGAAAAACTAATGATAATAAAGTATGCATAATTATCTTCTAAAGGCTAATTTTACAAAATAAAGTCATCTGGAACTTAAATTACGCAAGTAAGTTTCTGAAACATTAATTGTATCAAGGGTACAGTTGGAAGCATTACATTAGACTGGAATAAGTACAGTGATTGCACATTTACACCACATAAAACACTTTGGATGGCCTAATCCAACTTCAAGCATGAAAAACTGGAAGTCAATATTGTTTTTCAAATGAATTACGAAAACTAGAACTATTGGAGCTGATTTAAATGCACAAGAAAATGGTACTATTTTCTTGCATTAAAATAGCAAAACAATATGATCATGAAGTTTTTATATGTCACCTATTATTATGAACTACAGCCAATTGAAGGTGTTTAAGCAGTTGTAAAAGGTGAAATTGTAAGATCCTAAATTATTGCCTGTTTGAAATATACTTTTAAATGCATTAAAAAATGAAGTCAACTTAGTAAAGATTATAATGAATTTTAGAAAAAAGTGTTTAAAATACCAAGGCATATTTTAGTATATATTGAGGCTAATGAAAATATCCAATTAATTAATAAAGAATTTAATAATTATAGTGAATCTGATGGTGATGCACAATTTGGTATAATAATAATATTATAATATTTCCGAATATATACTAATAAGATTTATATAAAAAAAAATGAAAAAAAATTTCCTATTGACATTTATTTTGATGTACAAATCTTTTTGCACTGGACCATATTTAAAATTCTAGAAGTACTGATTTAATTTAGTGTTCCGCATAAATCAAATTTCTTCTCTGAAATTTGATTTGATTTGAACTCAATTCGGACTCAATTCAACCTCCAAAAATTATTATTTCAAGATCTAGTGATCTAATTTTAATGATTTTTTTTTAATCGATAGCTGATAGGTCTCGTTACCCTGATCAAATAAAAAAAGATTATCAAAATCAGACTGCTAGATTAAAAGATATTTGCAAATACGGTTTTATTATTCAGGAGCAATTAGGGTCATACCATGTCATAAATCAATTTGTGCGAAATACTAGATTTAAAGTAAAAATTTCATATCTAATAAAATACCTGAATCTTATAATATGAAAATACTAATATTAAGGAATATTATAGACCGTGCAGTATAGTAAATACAGTCAGTAAATACGTATTACTGCGTATGATATATAGAAAATCGGCATACTACTGCGCATTTCAGGTGATCGGGTTTAGAGTACTTCACATGATAAATGATTTATGATGTACGGTAATGATTACATAAGTTACACAAAAAAATATAATATAAAATGACTCATTTGATTTATTTGATTTTCAACGCGAAAAAAACTAGTCAATATGGATGAACTACGAGCTTTACGACACCAAAAGGCCTTAGAATTACTAGAAGAGCCTGGAATGAGAGAATCTTTCAGGAAAGATTTAAGTTTAACTGCATTAAAAGAGTGGGAAGAAGCCGGAGAACCTTTTGAAGAGGACGAAGAAATATTAGGTATTTATAATTAATTAGAACATTTGAAAAGTCTCGAATTTTAAACTTTATCTGTTAAACTTCTAGCATACCTCGAGTACAAGAAAAATGAAGCTTGTAAAAATGGTACTGACTCTGCTAACTCTGGATCAGCTGATGGAGTTACTAGACAAGGATCAATTGGTAATAAGTCTATTAATATACTACCCGATTTAATAAAGCCGATCTCACACAAAATTTAACTTTCTAAGAAATCGGAGAATGAAGTTCTGTCAATAGAGGTAAACAAAAAATTGGAAATAAGTATAGGATTTATTATCCCACAACAATCAGAAGACCAAAAAGGAATGCCCGTCTCCTGCTTCCAAAACCAGAAGACAATCAATTACCACTACATAAGAACGATAAATGTAGTAGTAAAAAAACAAAATCAAACAGAATTTCTGTCACAGTCAATATTCTTAACCAAAATACTCAACAGCCTAAGAGCTCTTGATCTCTTAGACTTTTACATCAAGAGAAATTTGGAAGTTAACATCAGAAAATTTGCTGCTGGTAAATTGAATTTAAATCCGTCCATTCAACCTAATAATTTAGTTTATAAGTCCTCTTGTTTATATGTATTAGTTTTACCCCAATGGCATCATCTGATGCTTTGACATATCAGAAGTCGGTTATTCAAAGCAATTGTATTTTTTGATAATCATGATAAATATGTAGAATTTTTAGATATTTTTTATAACAACTTTATATCTAGTATATAAGTAACTTCTCACAAACATACATTTCATAATTATAATCTCAATCTTGCTTTTCTTTTCTTATTATACCAAAACATAGATAATGTAAAATTAAAACTAATGAATAAAATTTATAAATTAGTGCTAGTTGCAATTTTTTTATATATTCAAAAAATAATTTCGCATTGTGAAAATCATTCAAACACAACTTGACGGAAAATCTTTACAGATTCTTTATTAATACAATCTTATCTATCTACGAAGCATTTTAACAATTATATATTTAATGTCATCCCAAGAAAAACCCGTAATAGTTGATAGTGAAAAAGTTTTAACTCATTTTATTATTGCCCTACCTTTGTCTGCATTCACATCAATGCTACTAAAAAGACCATAGACTTTTCGAGCTCTTTCAGTTCTTTTTCGAAGAGCTTCATCTTTGGCAACTAGAGAGAGATGCCAAATCACCATGATTTAATGATCTATAATGATCATACCGTTCCTTCAATGCTACTCCAAAATCAAAATAATAGCAAAGAACTCTTGCGTTATCTTTAAGCTTGTTTCACCATCGATAATTTTATTATATAGGTTGAGGAAAATATTTGAGTCACTGTTCGGTCTAGGGGTGGGTTTGGTTAGCAAGATTTCTTCATTTCCAGGATCAGCGGTAGACAATTCTTTAATATCCCGATCAACAGTCTTCTTTATTTTTTTACTGGAAGTAGATGCGAATGATTCATTACTATCTTTTCTAGAACGTTTCTTCTGCGTGGTACTCGATGTGTGGTCACCTGTAGACTTAGATGAGACATAAGCAACACTTTGCTCTTCTGGCGCAATGTCTCTAGAGTTATTTGGTAACCCAGATTCTTCTGTAAGCGCTTCATCATTGATATCAACATTCATGAGGGCTGTCATGGATGATGTTCCATTAAAAAGATCTGGAGAGAGAAAAGTTTCGATATCTTTATTACAACTATCATAAGGGCAACTCGATTCACCATCCACCAGATTCTTTTTAAGACATTGTTGGTAAAAGATGTGTCCACACAAAGCTAAGGTACTTTTGGGATATTAGTGTTCTCACCGGAAGAGGGGGAGCTGTTAGCTTTGCTAATGATATTTATTGCAAGAGTTTCGATATGTGATTTATCTATACTGCCTCAGTGCAGGATTAAACTTAGTAATAGACCTTTTACCAGCTTGTTTTTATATCATATAAATTTCGCAGAAAACAGTTCCCAGATTTTCACCAGCAATTACGCAATGCATTTCGTCATTTGTTAAGATGGCTTCAGGATTAATATAGATATCCCAAATTAAATAAGGATTGATAGTCAAAAAATATCCATATTCGAATATTGTTTTACTGATAGGGAAATAATGCGAAATATATATGTAAATCTTACGTCACATAGCACCTATTCTTCGGCAAGAATTTTACCGATACTGTACTGCGCATTTAAGCTGATCAATCTTACATGATCACTTATGCTATAATTACAATTGTGAACTTGTTTATTGCTTGAAGTATTGCAGGTAAGACAATATTCCAACTCATCTTGAGAATACAATTTTGCTAGCTCAGGATCATAAGAGAACTGGTTCCCATTTTTATGGTACCATAAGCCATATAATTCATAATTCCCATGTTTTCCATCACAAATAGGGCATGTTGAACTCCACGGCTAAGATAATGCAAAATTATAATTATCAATCCTTCTGAAACTTCAAGTATGTGAAATGTTCTAAAACGGATTTGATAATTAATTCTGGGTCGGGTCTGGCATCGAAGGTAATAAGCCCTTTTTCTTCACATTGCTTAGAAGAAGATAAATAGGTTGCTTTATTTTCTGGCTTCAAATTTATGAGAAGACTAGCTTCTGATACATGCACTTCTGATAATTGCCATGACTAATTTCCAGTTTCTTTTTTTATATCTTTGTATAATTTGGAACGAATCTTGTCTGTCAAAATACTTGGTAATCCAGTTAATTTGGCATGCCAATCCAGATAATTAGCAGTTAGTATTTTAATAGACTCAGTCATCTTCCTTTTTATATGACTGCAAACAATTTAAATTCCTTTTTTCTTATATAGACCTATTCATTCAAAAAAAAAGATTAAAATTTCTAGACTATTTATTGTAAAGTAATGAGACTACGCAACTATCTCAATTTACGCTATTCACATTTAATAAAGTAAGATTCTGCTTTATACCTACCTTCTATTTCTTCATCATCATGATTTAATTTGCATAATAGGCAGATATAGTTCCTACATGATGTCTTATCAGTAATCCCATAATAATCAAAATTTTCACAACTACATTCTCTATATAGATTAGGATATTGATCCAATATTTTGTTGTGAAAATAGGAATAATTATAAGCTGGCTTAGATTGGAATGCAGATGATATACTTGTGATCACTACCTTACTACCACAGAAATCTTTCTCCTTAAGATCCATGAGATCATTATCATCTGCTTTAACTGGAATGATTTGAGATGTAGATGGTGCTGTTATCCTGTTAACGATTAAAGTCAACTGAAAAACTTTAACGCTTTAACAGGTTAACTGGAGTTTAACTTAATAGGAGAGTCTTAAGTTGATCACAAATAATCACGTAAAATAACGTTGGATGTTCAATTAAAGAAAATAGGTTTTTATTAAAATAATGTAAGATTTTGAATACAACAAAAATATAGATAATTTCTTAGTTGCGAAATTAACTATCTTGAATTATACTACTGGGAATAATACTCTTTTCGTATAACTCAAAAACTACAATACGATTCTTAACTAACTAACTGACCTCCCTCTACTTGGTAAAATCCTATCACTATTTATAATAAAATAAAAATCAAGAATATTTGATAAAATAAATAAAACAAATATAATAAATAAATAAAATAAATAAAATAAAATAAATAAATAAAATAAAATAAATATATCAAATAAATAAAATATAACAAATAAAATTAATAAAATTAATAAATTATATAAATCAAATATATCAAATTTATTAGATTTATCAGATTTATCAAATAAATCAAGAAAATCAAGAAAATCAAGAAAATCGAAAAAATCAAGGGATTTATGAAATGATCCACAAAATTGATCTACATAAAATTACTGCGCCACATTTCTATTTTAACAGTGCATGCATTTACTTCAGCATATGGGCTGATTTTTTACCTTTAATTAAAATATTGATTTTATTACATTTTTATTATACAAAATACTATATAATATACAGTAAATTGGGGATGAGTATTAAAAAAATTTTTATTTAATATTATTATATAATTTGGTAAATATTTCTTTTAAATTAATATAATTCTTAGCACTTACTATATATATTAAAAATTTTTATCTTAACTTTAAACGTAAATATCTTCAGATCTAATAATCCAATTGGCAAGCTCTTTTTTCGTTTATATAGACCAGATCAAGGGCTTTCCAAAGAGCCTAAATTTATAAAAAATGGATTAGTGGATCCCAAGATATTTACATTTAAGCATATTAAAAATTCGTACCTCAACTTTAAACATAAATATTTTCAGATCTAATGATTCAATCGGCGAGTTCTTTTTTCACTTATAAAGTCTAGAACAAGGGCTTTCCAACAGGCCTAAAATTATAGAAAATGGATCAGTAAATCTTGATATATTTGCATTTAAAGATGGTAATACAACCTCTGATATAAAATAATGATTTTTATTATTTGAAAATATCTATTATGATATACATGCCACCCAAATTATTTTGGGCTGCCGTAATTATAAGTAAAATCCCAAATTCAATTATGACATCCCAAATTATTTTAGCACTTTACATAGTAAATTATATATAAACTAAATAAATTACGGCATCCCAAATTATAATTATGGCATCCCAAAATAATTTGGATAGCATGTATATATTATGATACCATTTTTTATATGATATTTTTATTATATTTTTATAAACATTAAGACTATATAAATTTTTATTTTACTTTATATTTTATTAAAATATACTTACCATATATTGCAGGTCATAATACTCCTCATGCATAGTATCCCTCTTGAAAAATTTCATAGAATTGTATAATACCAGAGAAATATTTTACAATTAATTATCTTGTGATCCAGTAATTAGATTTGAGCCATTTTTTTTTTTATTTGATTGCTCTTATTGACCTTTTTAAAATAAAAAAAAATTATTCAAATTGGACTGGTAGATCGTGAGATATTCATAAAAAACAGAATTTTTAAGTTTTATTTAGTACTTGGAAGTACAGGATCAAACCCTGATTTTTGCAATATACTCAGGGTACTATGGCTTGCTATATACAGTACTTTTTAATAATATATGTTAAAAATTCTATATATATAAGAAATGGGTTTTTTATTAATGAAATGAGTTTTTTCACAGCTCTGTTACATTTAATAATTAAGTTTCACAAATATAAATTTTTATTTAACTTATTTATTATTTAGTCAAGTGATCATCAATCAAATGATTTTTTGGTATTACAAAACAATTTTGGGTAACAAAAATTATGAAAATCAATTTAATAATTCTTTTAATATAAAGTAAACAAATCAGTCCATATGGATAAGATTTTTTTAGAATAGGTTGTCTTAGAAATTTAAATCAGCTTCCAGAAATAACTTTTTCAAAAATATACTATAATTTATGATCTTTTGAAATTGTGCATCAGTAAGCTCTGAAATGGAATTTGCGCTATATAAATTAATATATTTGATTTTATCTAGACCCACTTTTTCAAATAATTTATAGTTTTTTTTTAGCTCTCTGAGTTTTCTTACATAAGCTATCCTATAATACAACCCTAACTTCTAGCCCAATTTTTGTGATCTTTTTTTGCGAAGAATAGAAAGCTGTTCTATGACGGTGTTATACTAAAGCATACTTCTTGTCTTCTTTTACCAAATTTACCACTATTACTTCTGATATTTCATCAAGCTGATTTCTGAAATCCTTCCAATAGAGGCACCAATATAAAATTTCTTCCTAATTAGCTTAATTTGCCCTATTTTTAGCATCGATGGCTTTGTCACATAACTTTGTAAGACTTTATCAATATTGTCATAGATAACTTTTCTGGAACAGGCTGTCTCAGAAATTTCAGTTACATTATTATGATTTATTGATGATGAAATCTCTGATTCCAAAGAGGGGTTAAATAATTTATATTTAAATTCATCTATTCCTTTTTTCTTATATAATCTGCTATTTTTAGAAACTCTCTTTTGATTATGGATCACTGATTTGGAAATAGGGCAATCTAAGTTGATGTTTTTACTAACTTCAGATGGTTATACATTAATTAATATCTCTAAAAACAATAATTGGCTTAAAAAAGATTATCATTATATTAACAAAATCAAGGAATACCTAATAAAAATATCAAATTATGAACATATATATATTATGGGAGGAAGCACTTGATAAAGGTAAGATAATGGATTTAACTGTCAGTATAATGGCGTACTGTTCTGGGAGATTTAAATCAAGACTTAATAAACTTAAAAGAGACTAAAGTTGCCTGCCTAAACCTCTCCAAAATTCTACGATTAGTTTTTCCAAGATTTTACTATAGTTTTATTATAGTTTCGCCAAGATTTCAGCAGTTTTGACATTTATAATAAGTTTCATCAGGTTTCGCTTTTCTTCAGAGTTTTGCCAACTTTTTAATAAGACTTTCATATAGTTTCAGCAAAGTTTTACTATTTTGGCATTTCGCCAACTTGCTAAAACCCCCTAGTTTCTCCAGCAATCTTAAAGGAGACATTAATGATGATAAAAATAATCAATATATTAAATCTTTTATAAAATATACTTCAAATTCAATTAACATTAATGATAGTAAAGTGAATTCACTCATCATATCAAAAGTTTGTTACTATTATTATAAAAAAGTTTCAAAAGTTGTTGATATTTCTGATATTTCAAAAAAATTTCTAAAACATTTCAAAAAAATGGGATCATATATGAGATTTTTGATCGAAATCATAAGTTGCGCATGTAAAAAAAAATTTAAAGTCCTATTTGCCAATATGAAACTGAATATATTGAAGTCTATTGTAAGGATTAGAACCGTCCAAAAAACTTTAATCGGTTAAAAACCGGTTAATTAAGAGTCTTAACCAGTTAATAACTGGTTAATATTAAAAATATTTTAAAAACTTTTTTTATTGCAAATTGTACCAATTTTGGATTTTACTTGCATATTTAGTTATAGGAAGACTATGTACTATCACTAAAATTATTATAAATAAATAGAAAAAAATTTGGCATTAAAACTTCAAGTTTAGAAACATTTGATCACAATTTACATATCTTTAGGCCACATTATATAAATCTAACTAGAATTATGGTAAATATAGTTTTAACCAGTTAAATCCTTTAACTGGTTCCAATCCCTAGTCTATTGTTATTCATCAACTTATATGTTTATGGAAACATATCATTGAAGAGTTTATTTCTGCCTCCATGGAGTACAAAGATTTCAAGAATATATGTTTGGGTGATAAATCAAAGCAGATAAAATAGCACTAAAATATAGTAGCGTAGAAAATCTGAAACATGAAAGCATTAAAAATTGCATATGTTTACACGCTGAAATAAACATATTGAACGAAATAATAAATCAGAAAAAAAAAACTAGGGTGCATATTGCAATATCCAAGAAATGCTGTTATTTGTGTAAATTGTATATCAAATTTGCACAAAAACAAGAATATAATATCCTTATTTCTGGAACGCACAAGAAGATATATAATCTGTGGAAACTTCCAAGTCCAACAGATGTCACCTTCATAAGTAATTTCCTGACATATGCAATAAATAAACTTAATCAAATCATATAAGAAAAAGTAAATAATTTCTCTGAGAGTTTATTGCCAGAATCTGATAACGATGAAAATAGCATGAATTCTGATAAAATTATAGTTAATGATGAAGAACATAATATTTTTATTGAAACTAAACTTCAGTGTTATCGTTTTAGTAAGAATATACTAGATTAAGAAAATATATTTGGTTATTTTTTAATAAGAATATACTTGAGTAAAAAATATATTTACTACATTTGCTTAATATTATATAGTATAAAAACGTATTTTAAAAATTCAAAATGAATTCTATTTTTTATAATTGAGTAATAATTAATAAAATTATAGTAACAAGTTCAAAGGAAGGAAATTCAATTTACAATAGAAACATTTAATCGTTTCATGTGTAAAAAAAATTTTTTATTATGTTATAGATTTATAAAGATATGATAGCATATAAAAATAAAATTTTCTGATATTGTACTATGCATCGATCTGTTGCTAAAGCAAACCTCTTAACATGATAGAAGTTTTTCCGCTTTATGCTTTCACAGTTACTATTTTTGATTTATTATAGTAATCTTCCAATATTCAACCATTTAAACCTCTCTTTATATTTTCCCTTTTATAATATTTAGTTCACACTAATCCAGGGTAAAATTCATATTAAGCTTTTCAGTAATGTGCAGTAATTTTATTAATCAAAAATATGAAATAAAAACTAAATATTTGTAAAATAATTTCAAATTTCAATAATATTGATTCTATTAAATTTAAAGATAATAAATTATGACTAAATTTTAATTTTTATATATTTTATTTTATTATTTTATATATATTTTTTTATTAATTTATTATAGATGTGATCTTGTCTTAATATAATTACACTTACTTACATATATTAAACTTATAAAAATAAGAAAAACAAAATACATATAAGAATACTTAACAAAGTATTATGAAATAAAATTACTTTTTTGAAGAAAAAGTTAACCTGTCATCTAAACTATTATAAACAATAATACAATATTTTATATTTTTTATATTTTATATAAATAATACAAATAGAAAAAATTTTAAAAAAAATCAAAAGGAAATTTAAGCAAATAATATAATTTATAATATTTTATTTTACTTTTAAGATTTTTTGAATTATAAAATTTCTTTATTTTTATTATATAAAAAAAAATATTTTTTTTTATAATTTATTACAATATATTAAAAAAAAAGGATAATTTAACATTTATCAGAGGTGAAATTCACCAGTAAAATTGGTAAAGTTCATCATATTATATAACTATGAATTTTTTTTCATTTGAATATAAAAATATTAACTGGTAGTGAATTTCACTTATTTTTTTTATTTGTAATTTATTTATCATAATCAAATAATCATGTGATGTAATAATAAATAAATCATTACACTATAAAAAATTTTATTAGATAAACAAAATTGTTTTATTTATAAATGCAATATTTTATCTATAAAGATAATATTAAATTTATAATGTTAAACTAAATTTTAAAGTTATATACATTTATTTATTATTTATTACTTCAAGTTAATTTTATAATAGGACTATTAGACTAGTTGTAAATAACAAAAAAAGACAAGAAAAATAAAGTAAAAAGGAGATATAGAATTCATTTACAATCTGTAAAAAAAACATAAAATTTGTATAATGAGAAAGGTCATAAATAATGAGGTATAATGGAAATAATAAAACAAAACAACAAAAAATAAGAAAATCAATAAGAAATAATAGTATTGATGAAGGATAAAAAAAGATGAAAGGAAAAAAAAGTAAAAGAAAGTAATAAAAAAAATGGAATTGAATAAAATGAAAGGAATGAAATAAAAAAAAAAAATGAAAAGAAATACAAAAATGAATGGAATGAAAATGAAAATAAAATAAGGTGAAAATCAGATATAATGAAAAAACAGGCAGAACAAAAATAAAAAATGTATTGAAAAAAATGGAGTTGAAAGAAATGGAATGAGTAAAAGGATTAAAGCAGAAAAAATAAAATGAAAGAAATAAGATGAAGTAAATAGAGCAAAATGGTGAAAGAATGAAAAAAATGTAATAAAGACAAAATAACAAACACATAAAAAAAGGATAAAGTAAAATAAGTTAGTAAAAACAAAATATAAAGAATGAAAAAAGAAACTAAAAGTAAAATGAAAAACATATTTTTGATTATAAAATTAAGAGAAATGAAAAAAGTATAATGAAGAAATGGAGTGAAAGGAATAAAGCAAAGTAAAAGAAAAAAATAAAAAAAATAGATAAAAATGACAGAGTAAAGAATAGAACAAAATGAAATGGCAAACACAAAGAAAAAGATAAAAGAAAGTTAGTAAAAATGAAATATGAAAAATAAAAGAAACTAAAAGTAGAAAATAAAAAAAATACTTTTAATTGTAAAATTACATTAGGTTAATTTTCAAAGTCATTTAGCTATTTTTAAAAAAAAGAAAAGAAAATGATAATAACAATTTTAAGTAAAAAAAAATGAAATACCACTTATTTTGTAACATTAAAATTTAAGTAAATATTCAAAGTGGCAAAACCACTCCTAAAAAAAAATAAAAAAATTGTATTATACATTGGTATTACAATTGTTATGCATGGTGAATTTTACTATTTTAACAAAAAATTTAAAAAATTATTATTTATTGCTAATGTGATTTGTCACTAGTAGTCTTCAGACTCCAGTTGCCATATGAATTATATAATTTAATGTAATATATTTAATTAATCTTTTTGATTATTGTTAAATCAGTATTTTTTATAGTTTGCTTGCTCTCTTTATTTCTTTAATATTAATTATAAAACCTATAAATCATTTCATTTATTTTTCTTTTTCATGTAAAACTTACCTTATAGAAGAATAAGAATTTACAAACATTCATCTTTAGAATTTGTGCAAGGTATTACAAAATCAAAATAAAGCAAAAACTATAGCTAATAAGTTTAAATGAAGTAAAATATATAAAAAATAGAATTTGCCTTTATTTTGATTTTTGTATTTCTAAAATATAATGATTTTGAATTCCTAATTTCCTTTATTTTATTTATTTATTTTACCCAATTATATTTTGAAAATATTAATACATATATTTACTTTTAAAAAAAAACACTTATTTTATTTTTAATCTAAGTAAATCTAATAAATTACTATAATTCAATTTTTTTCTTTAAAATAATATCTATATATTCTTTTACAAAAACAAAAAGCCCATTATAATTTTAATCAAATCATTGTTCTATTATAAAAATAAAAATAGAAATAAGATAAAAGTTTACTGACATTTTTCTTTACCATTAATATTAATATATTTTGCTCCTCTATAATTGAGCTTTCTTCTACTGATGTTGGCTATTTTATAACATTGATAGCAGCTAACTAATGCTGAAATGTATCCACATAATTTTCTAACAGCTATATTTTAACAGTTCTGTGGTCCATAATATAAGCTTAGTTAATGAAATCAGTGATATCTGTACAGTTGGTATATTTTAAATTTCCACAGATGTAATTGAATGTATAATGGTGCATATGATTTCATAAGTTATGCACAAAAACTTTTATGAATAATGTGCTCTCTGCATGTATAAAAATAATCTGAATTTCCAACACTCCATGTTTTCTTGAACCAAATAATGTTGTATGTATTTTTTGCCTATATCATAAGCAACAGTTTATATATTTTGCTGATTTCTTTTTTACATCATTGATCTGGGTAGCAATTTCTTCTTTTGCATCAAAGATTTCTCCTTCTATATCATTGATCTGGGCAGTAATTTCTTCTATCATTGATCTTTTTGTCAACATTTTCATCCAAAGAACATATTTTTTCAAAATTACTTTTAAGGTTATATCTATATAATTAAATATAATGAATTATTTAAGCATGAATTTGGTTTTGGACAGATGTAATGGGCCCTTTTGGGTACCAGCATGACAATAACATTTTTTTTACAGAGAGTAGCATTGAATTTTTAAAAAACAGCATTCAAGTAAAAACTCACACATACCACTCTCATTATCTCCAGTTGAGTATTTCAATACTAGACTTTTGATTATTATCAGAATTAATATTCCTTTGTCTATCCATACTTGACAAGTACATTTTTAATAGTGAAAAGGTTTTAAGAGAAAGAAGCCTGAGATATACCGTAACTAATTTTAGTAAAAAATGATTAAACCGTACCAGCGCGTGATCGCAGAAAACAAGTTAACAATTGGACAATTGGATATAATTGGATATAAATACATAATTGCGTTGATTAACCGAATTAAGGGTTGAATAATTACGCAATTTTTCAGTCGTACCGGACTACCGGTAACCATTTTAACAACTAGTATTTGTTTATTCTTGTCCGTCAGTCTGTGTAGGTATACTTGAGATCATTTTTATTCTATTTAAAATATAAACATATTGGATATAGATGGGATAAAGGGCATATTTAGGAATATTATTTTGTTTTGTAAGACAAAGTTATAGCCAAGCAAATAACTCGTACATATATAATTTTGATTTTGATCATTGATATCTGGGAACCTAGAAACCTTCACATGATTGAATATGCGTTACGAAAGATGCTAATCAAACTTGCCTCTCAAACAGATATATTTGAAGCAAAATCTTTGATTAACATTCTTAACACAGGCAAAATAGAATAGTATGAATATAATAATATGCAGGCGAGTTTATATTCAGAGGATCATTATTTTTTATTACTGATTTGTTTTAGAATCCTGCGATAGACTCGATATTTATACATTTTGTGGTCAGTTCGAAAGAACAAGTTTTTGCATACATACTCTCTCCAAATATACCATTTCTTTGTAAATAAGTCATCGAAATGTTTGTCATGGATTACTGTCATCAAAATGTGAAGTCCGTTAGATGATGAAATATTGGGTCAAGCGTTGAAGTGGAACATTTATGAATAAGTTGTCAAGTAAAGGTTCAGATCTTAACCTTCCAGTTTTTATTGGAAATGGTTGTATCACAAACACATCTGAATATCGCGTCTTGAATAAAAAAATTGATCAAACTGAAACTTATTCAATAAACAAAGATTGTGAATTGAAACAAAGTGCTATTACAAGTTATGTCTGTAAGACTTGAGGAATAATATATTACCTTTGTCTTTTAAATTAAATTTCTTATTTTTTAAAAAATTTTCTTTTTAATATAATTCCTATATTCTACTCTCAGGAAATTTATTTGCTATATAGCTGATGTTATATATATATTAACTTGAACTGAAAAATATTTACATCAATTACCGGTAGTCGATTTTCATTTTTCAATCAATACACATCAAATAAACGAAGGAAAATATATCTTAAAAAAGAAATCAATATTACGTGGAAGGAATGAGCTATGAAAAAATTTTTTTGTAAATTTAAACTGAATAATAAAATTATTTTTTTAAAAAAAAAAAAAAATTAATGCCCTCGTGGCACACAAAAACATAATTAAAGTATGCTGAATAATAAAATTAATTTTATTAAAATAAAATAAATCCAAAGGAAAACACATTATTTTACACTTACATATTATTGTCAAATTTAATTAAATAATTCGTTTAATATTATTTATTATATAAAAATTTTTGATTTATAAATCAAATTCTATTTTATAGTTTCTTCAAGATTACGAGTTAATATATCCAATTGACAGGTTTGTTCAAATGATTTAATATGTCTAATAACTGCCTTCTTATTTGGCTCCTGTAATTCACCAGCTATAGAAATAAAGATGAAAGTTAAAAATCAAATCATTATAATGAATTATAATAATTAAAAAACAAACTTGCCCATAAATAATTCATCCAAGGCATAATACGCTTTATCAAAATTATAAATTATATCCAATTCACACACATTTCCAAAAAATTCATCAAGTATTTGAACATAACGATGAATTACTTCTAGGGTGTAAAGTTCATTTTCGTCCCAGTCAATTCCTGCTACAAAATAAAGACTAGCATATCTTTTATATATCACCTTTTTTATTATAATCAGGGAGATAAAAAAATTAGAGATGTATAAAATACATGGTACACATAAAATTTCAAGTACCTTATGTTCACCATATTCTAAAACATTACACATCGAACGTTTACGACTCAATATTATTGTTGTTAAATCTGTTGTAATTGTTGTTTTTTCCTTATCAGTAAAATATTGAAACCATTTCTTCAACCGCATTTTCCCATGTCGACTAAAAATGAATAAATACAAAATCTATTCATTCGCATTGTAAATTAAAAAAAAAAATTATTTAAATAATTATGAAAAAAAGTTTTTAAATCTAAAAGGAAAGCACGAACCATGTTTATTAACAAATTTTATTAATTTTTAAATAAAAAACCAAATCATCACCTTATGAGCTGAGGAATTTCATATGAGTAAACATCTAGAGTTACACAACAGGTTTAATGAACATCTTATCAACAAAAATTATAGTTTCGATAATCACTCGAAATATTCTCCTCATTCGAAATTAACTTCAACATTAGTTGTTATGGCTCCCCGAACTTTTGTAAATAATATTATTAATGCCCTTAGAGTAGTTTCCTACCGAAAAAAAACCGTAGGAACTATAGGGTCTAGAGGTTATAGTACAGCCAAAGAAGACAAGAAGTTGAATGCCGCAATAAAATATTGCACAGACCTCGTAAAGTAATAACAATATATATATATATTTTTTTTTATTTTGTTACTTTTGAGAATAATTTTCATGATTAATTTAACGAGGAAAACTTTCTCCTTTAACATTTAAGATAATTTTATTTTTTAATTTAAAATATTTAACATGTTAGAAAGCATGATCCAGAAAATTATATATTATCAACATTTTATCCAAAACATTTGCAAAAAGTATATTTTGCAATACGGGCATTAAATATTGAGCTAATAATGATTCGAGAGTCAACCACCAAACCTCAACTTGGTAACTTGCGCATGCAATTTTGGCGAGAAACAATTGACAAAACTTTCAAAGTGTGTAAATTATTTTTTTTTTTTTGATTATATGAATTATTTATTAATAAAAATTATTTAACGATTAGGGAATTCCACCTCAGCAACCGATTGCTCAAGTTTTATACAATTCCCTGGAAATATGTCAATTATCACCATTATTTTTTAAAAGGATAATTGATGAAAGGGTAATTAATATTATTATGTAACCTAGTTTTAGTAATTAATTAATAGATGATTTTTTTTTTAAATAGGATGCACAATTGTATGATCCTCCATATATTAACAATAAAGATTTAGAATCATATGGAGAGAATACGGCATCATGTCTTCTTTATTTACACCTTCAGTCTTTGGGAGTTGAGGACATACAAGCTGATCATGCTGCAAGTCACATAGGAAAATCTATTGGAATAGTTACTATTCTGAGGGGTTTTCCATATCTTGTGAGTAAAAGGAGAATGTTGTTACCTTCTGCAATTACATCAAAGGTATATATTATATCAAACTTTTTAATATCTTTGCATCTTTAAGAAAAAGTGGTTTTAATATTTATTTTTAGTACAACATTTCTCAAGAAGAGATATTTCGTCAAGGTCCTGTAAAAGGATTAGAAGATGCAATATTCGAGATTGCTACATTGGCTCATGATCACTTACTTACAGCTAGAACATTTTTACAAAGCACTCCAAATCAAGCTTTACCCGCTTTGTTATCAGCGGTAATAAGTTAATATAATTTTATTTATTTATTTTTTTTAGACTTGTATACTAATTTTAATTATATAGGTTCCTTGTGACTTATATCTTAAACGGTTGGAAAAATATAATTTTAATGTATTTGATCCAAAATTGGCTATAAGAAATTGGAAATTACCATTCTATTTATGGTATAATTACAATAAAGGAACTTTTTGAAAAGAAAAAAAAAAAAGATTTTATTTTTATTGTATTGCTTCAGTTAGAAAAATCTTTTTAATAAATAATGCATGTTAAAAATCTATAATTGGGAGTCATCTGAATTTGCTCACAGGTTATATTTATGACATTAAGGGAGTTAATTATAGAGATTATATTTACACCAATTAATAGAAGTTTCTTTTTTGAACTTTTTATAGTAATATAATTTATAAAAAATTCTTTGGAAACCGCGAAATTATTATAGATTATTACTGCGGTTACAGACTGATTAGTATTCTTAAGTTATTAGCTAATTTTGGAAGATACGTTACAAACACGCGTAAATTTGTATATCGATCATTTCTAGATTGCAGGTTTATTTATGAAACGTTTTTGTTTCATAACATGCCATAAATGTTACATAATGATTTGTGTAAACTTTAATTAAATGTATTGTAAGTTTTCGTCGTTCTTTAGGATATTTGTATAAAAAAAATTCATTATTGTTTCTTTTTGAGATTTATTATTAATAACTAATCTCTAAAATAAAGAAAAAAGATTACCGTTGAATCAGATTATCAGGTTTAAAGGATGAAAATAACTATAATATAAAAATTTTAATACAAAATCCAAGACATAAAAATGTAACACGAAATTAGTTGATTGCATATACATATATACAGTTTAATTATAAACTGCCGGTAAGTTTTCCAAAATAAATTAAATAAATTATTGTTTATGTTACAATTATGCACATTATGACTTTTACTTCCCCTGATTTGTGTCTAATTTAAATAAAAAATGTAAGATTGTGCGACTTTTAAGGGGATTTAAAGAATATAAAAAAAGAACGAAAAGTTTTTTATTTTTGTCCTTTTAAAAATTTTCGAAACTCGGTACCCCGTGTATCATATCTATTTTGACCTTCTAATTTGTTGCTTTATTAAGCACCATTCTCTCTCTCTTTCCCTTTCCTACAAAAACTTTATTTTCCTCTTCCTCATCCTTTCTGTCTGGTAACAGAAAAACTTTAATACTTTTAATACTTTAATACGAACTTTTCGTACCTTTTTATAAAAAGAAAACCACCTCTTTGCCGAGCAAAGCAAACAAATTATTTTTACTTTTCTTTATTAAAAAAAAAAAAGATATGGGTCAACTCATTTGGAACCAATGGGCAAGATTGATCAGTCTCACCGCTGGTGTCTGTACGTAAATTTTATTTTTATATTTTCATTTACTGTCAAACTTAAAATTATGATTACATTGATTACATTGGAATAGATATTAACATTTTTTTTCGTTTGAATTATATTTATAGTTCAACTTATCGGAGGACTTTTCGCTTTCTTTTACCGTTATTCAATGTTTAAAGCCGTTATTGATATAAACTTTTTGTTCAATCCTTTCAATTATCTTGCAATTATTTGCACGTACGTATATGAATGAATTAAACTTATTAAACTTTCAATTCGTTAATTATCAAACTTTAGACTAATTTTTTTTTTCCTTGGTTGTTAGTGTCACTGGATTAATAATAATAGCTCTTGAATTACCCTTACCATTCCTCAAGGATACATTCCTAGTGAGATCTTTCATTCCCAGAATACTCTTATACGTCCCTATATCATTTGTTTCAGTATTTAATTATCAAAATGTAAATCCTGCTCTTTACTTATTTATCGGTACATTAATGTATCTCACAGCTGCAATTAAAGGTGAAACTAATAGAGTCAATAATACTTTAAGATCAAAAGTATAGATTTTTTATCACACACACATAATATATATATAATGTAAACATATGAAAAAAAAAATCATTTGAAATGCTTTTTTTTTTTACTCCAAAAAAAAAAATTTGATCATTTTTTTCTTTCATCTATGGGAGTTTTTTTCTATTATTATAGATATTGTTTATTAATTTGTATAATGTAGTAAAATGTATGTTAGTAAAATTAAGTAAATTTTAAAGTAAAATTTTTAGTAAATTAGTTAAAAAAAAAAAAAAAAATCGGGTTTCAATATTAATTTACTTTTTTTTTTTTTTTTTGGATTAAAAAAATTGAGCGGCTCATTATTGATAATTGAATTGTGTATTAAAAGTGTCTGTTTTTTTCCCTTAATCTGGAAAATAAATAATTGATTGTAAAATAATATTATCTCGGTTTTTCGGAATTACACCGTACACGGTTAAAACGTATAATATCATTCGGCCGGAATATTTCATAAAATTACGTAATAAAAGATTGACAAATTATTAAAAACGGAAATGATTCACACCGGAATTATATGATCCCATTTTTTTTACTAAACTTATTAAACAAAAGATGTTTATGTTTATATTAGTTTAAATATATTTATTTATATATAATTTATATTATATTAATTATGAAAAAGAAAATCAAATTATTCTTTCGAATACAAAAAAAAAACATTGGTTTTCAATAAAGTTTCATATTTAAATAATTATTTGTAAAAAAGAGCGAAAAAAAGAATGTCATTATTAATTAATTATTTATTTATTAATTATATTTTATTTATTCATGAATCATTATGAAAAGAAAAAAAAAAAAAAAATTTTTATGATCGATCTTTTGTTTAATTTTTAATTTGACACGAAAAAAAAATAAAATAAAATAAAATAAAATAAAAAATATTTGGAAAAGAGTTTCATTTGAGTTTCATTTTAAATGTAATTTAATGTGCATTTTTTTTCTTGGAAAAAAATTTGGTTTTAATTGGTTTTAATTTTTTAGGAATTAATTTTCAAAAAATTTTCTTTTCTTTTTAGAAATCAAAAAAAATATTTCGTTTTTATTGAAAAAAAATATTGAAATATTCCGTTTTATTTAAAAAAAACAAAGAAATAAAATACTTTGTTTTATTAAAATACTTTGTTTTGTTTTATTAAAAATATTTCTTTATTAAAATAAAATAAAACAAAATA